TAAGTCTTGGTTGGTATAGACCTTGAAGGCCCCCTCTACCAAGGTTGACAATGGGGTTTAGGCCAAGCCTCCAGCTTTTGTAATTTTCTCCTGACATCATGAGTAACCTGGGTTATAAAATGCATGGCCAGTAGCGTCTTTCCTTCTGCAGGCTCAGGGTCTGAATTGGTATACTTGCTGACTGCCTCTGTCACCTGGCTCAGGAAGCCCGCCTGAAACAAGAGGTGGCCACTTGTCACCATGGGGAACTTGTCACCGTGGGGAAGCTGCATTTGGTGGTCCTGGAGGCAGTCAGATCCCCTCCCAGGACGGGGACTACCGCCCCACACTGGGCACTGTACATCTGTCAGCAACCCTGGTTCTTGGCCTTCCTTAATCAATAGAAACTAATAAGAGGCCAAACAAATGCAGGCAAGGCTTTATTGGTGGAGGAACGCGAACAAGAAATAGGTTCCCTTGATCACTCCCTGGGGCGGAGGGTCTGGTTTGTTCTTTGGTGAGGGTAGGAGTATGTCCAGAGATCAGGTCAGAGGGATGGCCTAGGTGGTTTGTGTACTCCTTAGGTGCTGGTGTGCGCAGGGGGCGTGCTCACTGCCCTGCTTTTGCTCTAATCTCTTCAGAAGTGAGAATTGGGATTTTTGTTTTGGTTTTTTTTTTACCTTTTTGAATCTTGTTGTCCATGATTTGCCCCAACCGCTCATGCATAGTTATTTTTAGTTCCTTATAGTTTCTCTGTATTTTGTTGCTGGAGATGTTTGTCCAGGTACAAGCACTGCAGCAAAGGCTTCCAGGTCCCAGCCTGTCTCATGTTTACTTCTATCAGTTTCATTTTCAACTGAAGACATACTTGTTAATCAGACCTAGTGAATACCCGTGGTAGCAGAGTGAATGTACATCCAGTCTACAGCCTACAACCCTACTGCTCCCTTTATAAACCCTTTTATCACATCTAAAGCCCATACTGAGTCTCTGGGTATCTAGGGGTCAGCTAAAGTCTTCCTCCCTGCCCTTATGAAGCCTACATTATGCCCTTTCCTTCCTAAACCCTCCAAGCTTCATGGGCCGATATTCCCATTTGATATTGTCTCTGTTCTTGGCTGATCTCTTTGAGTTGCCACACTCATGATGTCAAGTGTCCTCCCTCTGAGAAAACTCTTCCCTAGCCTTCTTCCTGCTCTCAGGAAATAAAGGTCCCTGAGCCTGGCTTGCAGGCCTGGCCCTGTTCTTCAGTCAGCCTCATGGCCCCACAAATCATTCACCCTCAACTACAGCCCGATCTCTGAACGTGTGTGTTTTGACTACATACAAGCTTGTTATCCTAGATACAGCGTCACCTCCACTGGAAAGTCTTCCCTGATTCTCCCAGGTTACGTCAGCCTGAATGAACATTCTGCTCCACCAGGATGGTTTCTCGGCAGGACAAACATTTTGAAGCCAGTGTCAGTGTCTTACTCATTTCAGCATCTCTAGTTCATGGTACTTAAGAGGTGTCAGTTAATGTGGAATGATCTCATGGGAACTTGGGAAAATTTCCATGCATCCCCTAATGCACTGTCTTTTCCACCAGTCTCATGAATCTTTTTCCTTAAGAACCTCAGTCATCTTCCTAGCCCTTAATGCCAGCTGCTTATCTGCCTTGCATCCCCCAGACACATTGAGTTGACAGACCTGTGGGACTCTGTGACAGTGGACCGCCACCTGCTGGTGAGATAGTGTCCAGGCCAGTGACAACTCGGCTGCAGACAGGAAGACATTCCACAAAGAATATAAACCGCTTCTCAGGATAACATTTGCAAATGCACAGTGTAAAGCACATAGATTACAAGTGAAACTAATCATCATGAAATAGAAGGTGTCAAAATATTAGAAAATGTATGTATTATGTAGGTATGTATATTTGTATCTCATTAAATAACAAAATCTAGTGATAGGTCCAGTAACTACTATAATTTCAAAATGATGAACAAAAATGATAATTGAAGATGTCTGCAACATCTCTAATGTGAGATGAAACATCTGTGATTTCTACTGCTGACATAGTCACAAGTACTGCTGATAATATTAGTTTGTTGCCTATATCCATAAAGAAAGGAAATGCTGAAATTCGGTTAGAGTTTAGTGAAACTACCTATCTTTCTCATTCAGGTACAACGATACCCTGAATTCTCCCCGTGGATCCCTTGTGTGCGTATAACAGGGATCCACGGACTCCAGGTTAAGAACCCTTGAATGAGGTTTTAGAGGCATGGCCATCACTTTCCAATATGGCAGAGAAGCCAGTGGTTAATTGTGTGCGTCTCTTGCTTGAGTGTAATGCATGCAGTTGTTGGGAGAGGAGCTGTGGAGGAGGCCATGGAGTTCAAACGTTTTAATTCCATGGGCATCACCAGGGCTGTGAGCATTCACCTGACCTTCCCCTGACCCAGCATGCTTCCTCATCTATAAAATGACAATGCTTTCCTCACAGGTGGTTGAAACGATTCAGTAAGTTAACATGTGAAAAACTCTTAGGGGCCAAATGTTTGCTGTTAAATGGGAATGATATAAATGTCTGTAGAGAAAATACATCAAATGTAACTTCTTCAAGAACAGAAACCCCGAAGTCTGACCTGCTATACACCCTGGAAGACACCAGTGTACTCGGACAATAGTAAACCGTTTCCAGGCTAAGTCTGCCCTGCTTTCCCCACCGCAGTCCAAGAGAACAAACCCAAATGCAAAGAGTTTCTCACCTTGTTATTTTATTAGAAGCATATTTACATTCTTGCAGTTAATTTTGCAGAGAACACTTTACAAAAGTTTTTTATATAAAGTTTGGAAACTACATAAAAATAACTTCTCCATAAAAGGGAAAATATAAGTTAGTTCTATTTACTCTGCTAAAAACTGACTGGAAATGAGAAACAGTTCCGTCTGTCCCTTCCAGAGAAAACATTAGCACAGAACACGAAGAATACTGCATGGGCTTCCTCAGTGAGGGGCGTCATACTGGCTTAACTGTGAGCCTGGGAGACCCAAGCGGACCCCATCCAGAAGGGACAGGGGAGCTAGTAGGGCTCGAGCAGTGCTGAGCAGAAAGCGGCACCTCCTTGAGTGAGACTCCAGTGTGAAGGACTTCCACCTAAACCGTGGGACTGGCCTCTCCTGATACTCGCTCTCATACCCCAGGCTGCGGAAGGCAGCACTGTAAACAAAGCCCAAATCAGCCCTGCCATCGGCCAATGCGAGACCCTTCACCCGGTGGAACTGTGTCTGTGTCCTGTCGTTACGCTGCCGCTAGTTGTGTTTCCCCAGCACCTGTGCACCAAAGAGAGTCAGAGGGGACCATCATTTCCTTATCTCATCTGTGGGAGGCCTGAAAACTATCCCTGCTGGGTCAAATACTGAAGCAGGCAAGCTGAGTGCTCACTAACCTAAGCGGACCAGTACCTTCCCACGGCCCTCAGGGCGTCTTCACTGCATGTCTAAGTCTGTGGAACCGCAAGTCCCTTCTCCTATTGAATGGTTACCCTTCTTTCCCAAAATCCAGTTACAAGAGGACCCAGAAAACTTCAGGGACTGGCTGTAGACAGAACATCTAATTAACCTATAGGTGAGAAAGAAAGAGGAACTCTTCCCAGAGTGTTAACCACCCATTACCAGCAAACGCATACCCAGAATCAGTATGCCCATTTGACTCATCTAAGTCAACCTTCGTGTTTTTCTGTTTTTTTTTTAAAGCAGATGTTCTCCTAAGGAAGACATTCATTTATATCATTAGACATAAAGGTGGGGGGAAAAAAAAGGTTTTCTTTGTAGATGAATCGAATGCCGGGTTGAGCATTCGCTTTACTGGGTTATGTATGCCCTAGCCCGTGGGGAGTGGGATCTCTGGGAGGCCGGCTGAGGCATTGAGGCCCAGGACTCCATCTAAGACACAGAAGCTTTGCTTCTGTCAGGTTTCTGGGGGCAAGAAGCACTCCATATTTCTCCCTGATGTTGTTTCTCCCTGAAGAGAAGGTGCAGTGCCTGTGAGCCTCTGTCTGAAGTATAAGGCTGGACCCTGAAGTAGGAGGGACACAGCGCAGAGGGAAGTGGCCTTCCTGTATCACCTGCAGACAGGATGGGCAACCGTGAGACAGAGGGACTGGCTGGGCAAGTCTTGTGGGACAAGGAATTTATCCCTGAACATAGGATCCCTCTGTGGGGCCAAAAAGGCATCACAGACTGGAAACTCAGCCTGTACCATCTGTGCCTCTGGGGCCAACACCCAGCACCCCCCCACCACCCCCCGCCCCATACCAATGGCTTGCCCTATGCTCTGTGGCATGGGCTCAGCCAGCAAGTACCTTCCAATGGACCCAGCACAAGAGGCCCAGGGCAGAGGCAAGCCTGCACAGCACCAGCGGGCCCTGTTCTGTGTGCATAGGAAGCGGGGGGGATGTGTGTGCAGAAAGGGGGAGCACAAGATGGCACGAAACACCTGAGATCAAAATGAAGCATTCAGGTTTTTCCCGTTCCACCACTGTGGAGGTGGTCTCAAGAGGAAAGCACGCTGGGGGAACAGGGGTACCCCCTGAGCATCCAGCTGCAGACCAGGCTCTGCTGTAGCCAAAACGGCCATTAAGAGCCCTGGTTCTTGTCTTCCACCGCAGGGAACGGCTGAAAGGCCACTGAGAAGTGCTGCACGAATGAGCCCACGGGGGCCTCAGCAGCAGCGCTTTGTGCTCCCAGACAGCATGGCTGCTGGCTTGGCAACAGGAGCGGCCTCGAGGCCACAGGACACCTAGTCCTCCTGGTCTGCGGCCCCGCCAACAGCCCAGGTCACTGGGGCTCAGGGGGAACATACACAGGATCAGGCAGCACATCACGAAACCTCGCCCTCCACAGTAAGCGAGAAGTCAGGAATGCCAGTTCCGTCGGGCACAGCTGAGGGGCACTCAGCCAGGATTCAAGCGGCATGGAAGCGAGAAGGAAGGGGGTCCTGAGTTACTTGTTCACAGAGCGGCCCTGGGGGGCTGTTAAGAAGCAGCATCCGCAGAGCTGTAGGGGAAGAACTTGGTGACCTTGTTTGGGGTGGTGGGGTTTGCACACTCTGTCTCCTCGTTCATCTTAAAGAACATCTCCTGCTCGCGCTTTTTCTGGTTCAGATCTTCTTCCAGAGCCTAGGACAGAGGGCAGATGGCACTCAGTCACATCACTTAGGACACAAGTCTCCCCAACCACTGGACCACCAAAGTGGTCTTCTCTGGAAATTTCCACCCCACATCCCCCTCCAGCCCCCGGCTTCAGTGCTTAGGTAACTTGGTCTTCCCTCTTTCCTACTGCCTCAACCATGCAGGAGTTGCCTGTGGGCCAAGAGCTCTGCTTTGGGGAAATGCCAGTCTAGACAGGGCACGAGGGAACAGCGGAAGTGAATCTGCTGGCAGGGAAGAGCCAGATGACTGGAGAAAAACCTGAGGTATTAATAGAAAATGGAGGAAGAACCTTAACAACAGAGTTGTCTGGGCTACACAGTGTTCCTAACCAGAGTGCTGTCCTGCCAAGTCAGGGGGCTTTTCAAAATCTAAGTGTCATGCCATGCCCTGAGATTCTGATTCTGAAACTCCGCTGTAAGACAGGGGTTCTTGACGTTGTAAAAGCGCACCGTGTAACCCAAGGGGCGCATCCAGGTGACCAGCATTGCAGGTGCCTCTTCCTTTGGACACACGCAAGTTTAACAAGATAAATGGTGTCCTATGCAAAAAATGTCTTGAAGAGTTCTCCAAAAATGAACATCCAATTAAGAAAGGAAGCATGGAAACATATACACTAACATATGTAAAATAAAATAGACAGCCAGTGAGAATTTGCTGTGTGACTCAGGGAACTGAAACGGGCTCTGACAAGCTCGAGGGGTGGGGTGGGGAGGGAGGTGGGAGGAGGCCCCAGAGAGAGGGGACACATGTATACCTACGGTTGATCCATACTGACGTATAGCAGAAACCAACACAACGCTGCAATTATCCTTCCATTAAAAATTTTAAAAGTTCCTCTAAACTATCCGAGTATAACACTGGAATAATAATATTTAGTGAGAGATTATTTACAAATAAAGGAAATCATACCAGAAGACCAAAAAAAGAAAGAAAAGGAAGCAGAGTGCAGAGGGAAAAAGCAGGAGCTTTACAGCCAAATGGGATTCAGCTCCATTAGCAGCTGGGTGGGCCTCTGCATGTCCCATTTCCTCCCCAGATCTGTTTCCTCTCGTGTAAAACGGCAACCTCACTGTCTTCCTGGCAGGGCACTTGCAAAGATTAAATTAAAAACCAATGGGCTGGGATTTCCCTCATCGTCCAGTGGTTAGGACTTCTCCTTCCAATGGCGTGGCTGCGGGTCCAATCCCTGGTTGGACTCATACATGAGATCCTATGTGCCTTAAGGCCAAAAAACCAAAGCATAAAACAGAAGCAAAACTGTAACAAATTCAGTAAAGACTTAAAAAATGGTACATATTAAATATATATATATATATTTTAAAAAACTAATGGGCTGTAACTACTGAGTACTTCTTGCATATCACACACTATGGTAAGTGTATTACAGTTTATTTAATCTTCACTCTATGAGATAGATACTATTATCCCCATCTTATAGATGGAGAAACTGAGGCTCAGAGAGTTTAGGTCACTTGCCCAAGGTCATTCAGTTAGGTGGGGGCAGAAGCAAGATGGGTCTAACTTTAGAGTTCAGGCTCTGAAACACTGTAGTCAGGCACACATGGGTTACTCAGTAAATCTGGCTTCATTATTACTTGCTTTCATTAGAGAAGTAACCATTCACAGGAATTGACCAGGATTCTGTCTCTCTTTTTAAAACTATTCTTTGATGCCCAGAAATAGTCTCAGCAAACTTAATCCCTTAAGCTCACATTCCTTCAACAGTACTAAACTCTAGTGAGTTCTATCTTTAAGGAAAGATGGGGAAAGAACACTGTCTTCTCAGCTCCAGCTGATGGCTGTCATGTGGTATGATGGGCCCTGGGTTGCTAGAACTCCTAAGTTCTCAAAAGAAACTGGAAACCCAGATTTTTATGTAAAATTTCCTTATATTTAAAAAGCTGGCAACTTAAAAAATTTTTTACGTCGCTATCTGTTGGCCAAACCTCTCTGTAAGCCAGCTTCAGTCTGAAGACCATCAGTTACCACTTTTATTTTAGTGCAGAAAGGTTTAGTAACTGCCTAGGCTCTCACAGCTAGTAATGGGGGGGCAGAGACTTCCTCCCATGTCTGTCTTACTGCAAGACTTATGCTCTTAAGCACCGTTCTGTTTTACCTCTATACAACCTATGTGTCCTCTATATAACCTAGGGCAGTCAGCAGTCTTTTTCCTGTAAAGGGCCACACTGTAAATACTCCAGCTTTGCAAACATTAAGGTCTCTGGTACAACTGCTCAACCGCTGTTGTAGTATAAAAGCAGCCATAGATGATATGTAAATGAATGAGCATGGCTGTGCTCCAGTAAAACTCTATTTACAAATACAGGTGGTGGACCACATTTGGCCCATGGGAATAGGCCTTAAAACACCTGTTTTAAGGAGAAAAAAGTTATCTTCATCTTATAGCCCTAAAAAGCAAGGCTCGGAAAGGCTTGTCTGAGGCCATATTCTATGTTAACTATGACCCAAGCAACACTTGATTGAATTCACCAGACATTCTATACTTACTTAAAAAAAATCTGAATTTTTCTAAAAATATTCCACAAGGTACAGTCATCTCTCCTGGCTCCTCCAACATGGGCCACAGCTCAAAGCTGCTGATGGAAATCCAAGAGTATAAAATCATTTATTCTAGAATAAAAATCATCACCTCTGGATCAGTGTTCCACCAGCAACCCAGGTAAATGGAAAAAAAAAAGGGGTTAAAAAAAAAAGCATAGAACGGGAAAAAAAAAAAAAAGGATAGAATGAATCTGCAAAGAATTCAGGAAAAGAGGCAGCTACCACCAGCAAAATCCAACAGCAGCTCACCAAACACACACTTAGAATACCTCCCCCTAAGTCCAGGCACCCCCCTGAAGCAGTCTGGGCATTGATGCAGTTGCTGGAGGCAATGTGACCATTCACTTTCAAATTCTCTCAGGATGTGCAAAGCATACAGAACCACTGGGTAAGAGAACCAGGCAAACATTTACTTCTGATACCAGAGTGAACCTGTGTCAGCAGTATTATTGATTTGAGTGTCAAGTACCACAAGTCCCAGCAGACCACATGTGGTTACAAGTGTGGACCTTTTAATCGGAAGGTCTGGGACCTTGGCCAGCTTCCAGCCAGAAACCTCCATTAGCACAGGGAAGGAGGCCTCAACTCAAGGACTTCCAAGGCCACTCTGGAGCAGAGGTGGGCAGCCGCCTCCTGGCCAGACCCCAGTTAGAGCAGGTAGAGCTGAAGATGCCCGCAGAACTTAGGGCCTCAGGGCTTAAGGAAACAGAATCAAGGACAATTAGGGCAGCTTCATCCTCAGAGAGTTTAGAATGGAAGGAAATGAGTATGTCCCTGGCCTATACTGTGGCCTAGGGACTTTCCACATAACACTGTATGAGATTCACATCTTCACTTTACACATAACCACACTGAGGCCCTCTGTCAACCTGGCAAAGCCATGGTAACCAGCTATTTGGTCAGACACCAGTCTAGATGGCATTGTGCAGGGATTTTTTAGATGTGATGAACATGTAACTCAGTAGACTCTGCATAGAGCAGCTTACCTACCGTAATGGGGGTGCAGGCCTTAAGAGGCAAGCCTGAAGCCCCGCTGCAGAGAGGACCGGGCCTCTGGGCTGCCCTGTTCCCAGACTACAACATCGACTCTCACCTGGCTCTGCAGTCTGCCCTGCAGGTTTCAGACTGAGCAGCCCCAACCATCGGGTGAGCCAGTCCTTAAAATAAACTCCCAAGTCTGTATCTAACCCATATCTGTATCTCCACCTGCATCCTGGGCCGACACCGATGGTACAGTGAAGCAGAGCCCATCATTGGCCCACCAGCCCAGACACGGTTACCTTTTTGCGCGGCCGGAGCTTGTCCCGCCATTCCTTCAGGTTCTGGTTGTGGCTTTCGTCCAGGGCCTTCAGCTTCTGGGTTTCGTGCTCTATCAGGAGGTGACACTTTTCATTCTGGAATATATTCCAGGCAGGACAGGTAAGACGCACAGAGGGCTGAGACATACATATCATGAGGCACCAGCATTGTTCACTTGTGTCTCCTCCTTGATTATAAACCCCATTATACAAAACTCTATGCACATGAATACAAATGCACCAAAAGGTGCCTGGAAGAATAGTCCAGAATATTAACATTAATAGATTTTATTATGTAATAGGATCTGTAGCAGTTTTGCAGCTGCTTCTTCATGCTTCTGCATTGTTTGAATTTTTCAACATGAACATATATGTCGTTTTAACAAAACAGTAAAACCATTAACAATAAATATGTGCCCTAACTGCACCAACAGAGAGGCAACCAGTACAGAATTTTAGATAGATTTCCTGTCAGGCTCTGTCCTGTGTGTGGTTCGGCTCACCCTGTGTATAAAATTCTGAAACCTGCCTCCCTCTTAACAGTATAATGTAAAAAGTCCTACAAAGAATTAACATTTTTTATAATCATGATGTTTAATTCCTACAGAGTATCTTACAGTATGGCTTTATCTAACGTAAACATTCCCCTATTTTTGGCCAGCTTGGGTTGCTTTTAATCTTCACTGTTATAAATAGCACTGTGTTAAACATCTGTGCTGTATACTGAATTGTTTCTCCCTAAAATTCATTATGTTGAATCTGTAATGTCCAGCGTGATGGTATTTGGAGATACGGGGCCTTTGGGAGAGAAGGAGATTTAGTGAGGTCAGGAGGACAGGGCCCTCGCGGTGGGTTAGTCAGGAAGAAACCAGAGAGCTCACATGCTAGAGTGCTCCGTCCCTGCCTCCTTCCCTCCTCCCCCCTCCTGTCTCCCTCCTCATCTCTCCTGTCTCTCTGCCACGTGAGGACACAGCAAGAAGGCAGCTGCTCCCCCGGAACCCAGCCACGCTGGCAAAGCTGATCTCCGATTTCCAGGCTCCAAAACTGTAAGAAAATAAAGTCCTGTTGTTTAAGCCAGCCGGTCTCCGGTATTCTGTAATGGCAGCGTGGGATAAGATGATCCATGTAGAAAAGTTTTGTGTCTATGTAAGCTATGTGATTTTCTGTGTCACATCACCACCCCTTCAGGAGAGATCGGTGACAAGGGATAAGGGCCATGGACCAGCCTGAGGCTTGCCAACATCACTGCTCTCTCTCTGCGGCAGGCTATCTGTTTCACAAAACTGAACCTGGACTCTCCCACAGGGACAGCAGTGACAATTCCCTGTTGGTTCCTCGCAGAGAGTCAGTCCTGCAGTTTATCATGCGTTTATAAAGTGCCTTTATCCAGACACCTCCACCCTACTGGACTGGAAGAGTAGGACTGCTGAGGGGATTTTTACCTGGGGTTTCGAGCTCAAGGGGTCTAGGAATTTAGACACCGCCTTGGCTGGGAATAATACTCACAGCCACCCTGAGTACTTCTGGCCTGCCCAGAGCGGGATCCTAGCTCCCTACAGCTTCTCTCAGCTGATGCTCACAGTAACCCCATGAGGCAGGGGTGGGAACATAAATACAGAAGGTGAGCGGGCTGGCTGAAATTCACGCAGCAACAAGCAGCAGAGCGCCTGCCTGGCAGGCTGCCACACCTGCAGCGTTTCCCCCACAGCCCTCCGCCCTTCCAGAAACGGCCAGGCGGTTAGCCTCGAGTCTCCTGAGGGCACAGACGCTCGTCAGCGCATCTTTCGGGTGGAGCAGTGCCTCGCTGCACCACAAGGGGGCTCCAAGTACCGACTCCTGGGCAAGGGCCCCTAGGGTGAGGCAGACTGGACTGGGATTGGAGAAACTTGAAGGGTCTCCCCAGGGAAGGGCTTGGCAATATCAGGATACCTTTTCCTGACTTTATGGGAAAGTTTTGAGCTTCTCACCATCACGGATAATGGTAGCTGTAGGTTTCTGTAGATACTTTTTATCAAGTTAAGGAAGTTCCCTTCTGCTCCTAGTTTACTGAGTGTGTTTAATTAACGTAAGCAGGTGTCAGCCTCTGTCAAATGCTTTTTCTGTATCTACTGATGATATGATCATGTGATTTTCCTTCTTTAGCTTGCTGCGATTACATTAACTCATTTTTGTATACTGCAGTAACCCTGGGGTAAATCCCACCTGGCTATGGAATATACTTCTTTTTATGTATTTTTAAATTGTTTGCTAACATTTCATTGGGGATTTGTGCATCTATGCTCATGAGAGATACTGATCTGTAGTTTTCCTCCTCGTAATGTCTGGTTTTGGTACTAGTATTATTAGGACACCTTTTCCAAAGATACAGTGATGACAAAGAAAGCCAGCAGCATGCCCACGGCCGGGTCCTGGGCACAGCACTCTTGGCTCAGCTCTGCCATCTCATTCACAAAGCCTCACTCCATTTCTACAAAATAGGAGTCGTCACCCTTGCCCCACGCCTATTTTATAAATGTGGAAACTGTGGCACGGGAGGGGGACATGATGTGACCAACATCACAGAGAACGGCAGGATGGAAACAGCTCCACCCAGAACTCCCGTCTGTAGGGTCCCGAGACCCCCCAGAGAGCTGCGTGCCCCCGGGGAGACAGGGGCAAGCACTCGGGGCAGGGGGCGGTACCTGTAGCTGCTGCAGCTCACTCATGTTGCTCTCGCACTGGGCCACCATGTCCCGCATCTGGTTCTCATGTTTCTGCTGCTGCTGCAGCCGCTCTGCCTTCTGCCTCTTCTCTTCCTGCTGGGAGAACTGCAACCGAGACCAGGAGAGGTCCTCCCTCAGGGAGACGCCCCCTGAGGGACCAGTGTGTACACAGGCCCAGCGTCCTGCACCACTCAGGCAGGGCCCCCTGTCTGAAGTCCTCCCCCTGAGCTGAGACCAGCCCCTGCCTTCAAGGAGCCCACAGACTGGTGGGGACACCGAGACGTGCTCGGACAGTGTGTGGAGTAAGCAGGACTCACAGGAGTCCAGGGCCACCACCTCCATGTGCCCGAGCCACCTGGGTGACTTGTGAGTGGGGCTCTAGGTAGATAAAAAGGGTAGAAGCAGCTGCAGGATAGAAACCCAGGAATGTGACAGGGCGTGTGCATGGGAAAGCAACGCCAAGCCTCCTTCCTGTCCACCAGAGGGGGCTCAACGTGAGGCTTCCATTCCACTCCTCTTTCCAAGGCTCTGCTGCATCTTATATTTCATATTCCCCTAAATGTGTAAGATTCGGGCCCCACCAAACCTGGATCTGGCCCTCCTCCAGGACACCCCAGGCCCTGACCTGCTTGATCTTCTCGCGCTGCTCAGCGGCGCTGCCCCCTCCGTTGATGTGGAGGCTCTTCTTGTACATGGCCATGCGCGTCTTGCCCTCACTTCTCTGAATCTTGGGCAGCCGCGCCTTCTCCTGCTGCTGCCGCACCTTCAGCTGCTCAATCATGCGCTGGTTGTAGCGCTGCATCTGCTCACGCTCCTGAGAGGGACCCCCAGAGGGGACACGGTCAGCTGCCTCCCCACACACAGGCGTAGTCAGAGGTCAAGGCTGCCACACGCCACTCGGGCCCAGGACCCACGTGGCTCAGGACGCTCAGAACAAGGCTCGTGTCATTTCTCTCTTAAGTAACATTTTCTATTTTCAGTTTTAAAATTACCGTTAATAATGTTTTAGATTCTTACCTTCTGAATGCCTTCTCACTTAACCAATGGGTAGTATGCTATCCTGAGCTATTATCTCAGAGCAAAATGTACATTAATGAGATGGTTCCTCATTATTGATGGTAGGTATCAATTCATATTTTTTAAAGTCTTGATAAATTTGAATATTTCCTTCACCTAACACTTGTATTTCAAAACTTAGCACAGGCATCACTTCTCCCAAGAAGCCTCCCCTGACTATCTGGCCAGGAAGGGCATATTTATTCCAAACTGCCACAGCCTTGTGCTGACTTCCAACATTGTACTTAGGTTAGGAGCTGTAATAACCCACACCAGATCTCAGTTTAACCACTCTCTGTCCCCACTAAAGGAACTGAACCAAGACAATTACATAGAAGTAGAGAGTGCTCCAGCCACACAGAAGGGGCCCTCCTCTGGTCTGGGGAGGTGAGGGAAAGCTTCCTGGCAGAAGTGGTATTTAAAAAAAAGAAGTGGTATTTAAGTTGAGACTTAAAAGTATTTTGAAAGACTTCAGACAATAGTAGAAAGCTACAGTAATCAAAATAGTGTGGTACTGGGACATCTATGGCAGTCCAGTGGTTAGGACTCCTGAGATTTCACTGCCAAGGGCCCGATTTGATCCTTGGTCAGGAAACTAAGATACCACAGGCTGTGAGTTAAACAATAAAATAAATAAAAAAATAAGTATCCAAAAAATAAAAAGAACAATGTGGTATTGGTACAAAAACAGATATATGGATCAATGGAACAGAATAGAGCCCAGAAATAAACCTACACACCTACAATCAATCTTCAACAAAGCAAATCAAAACTACAATGAGGTCAGAATGGCCTCACATTGGTCAGAATGGCCATCATTAAAATATCTACAAATAACAAATGTAGTGTAGAGAACAGTCCTACACTGTTGGTGGGAATGTAAGTCGGTATAGCCACTATGGAGAACAGGATGGAAGTTCCTCAAAAAACTAAGAGCTACCCTATGATCCATCAATCCCACTCTTGGGGAGACAAAACTATAATTCAAAAAGATACATGCTTCCCTATGTTCATAGCAGCACTGTTCGTAATAGAGAAGACATGGAAACGACCTAAACGTCCATTGATAGAGGAATGGATAAGGAAGATGTACACACATAGGCAATTAGGAATAGGAATATTACTTAGCCATAAAAAAGAACAAAGTAATGTCTTTTGCAGCAGCATGGATAGACCTAGAGATTACGGTAGTAAGTGGAGTGAGAGAAAGACCAATACCCTGTGATATCACTTACATGTGGAATCTAAAACAATGGCAGAAATTAACCTGCCTACAAAACAGAAACAAACTTACAGACACAGAGAACAGACTGGCTGCCAAGAGCAGGGGGTGGGGGTGGGGGATGGAGAGGGATTGACTGGGGTTTGGGGGTTAGCAGATGCAAACTATTACATTTAGAATTTATAAACAACAAGGTCCTACTGTGCAGCACACGGATCTATATCCAATCTCCTGGGAGAAACCGTATGGAAAAGACTGTTAAAAAAAGACTGTGTATATATGTGTGTGAGTCACTTTGCTCTACAGCAGAAATTAACACAACATTGTAAATCTATTATAATCAAAATAAGAAGTATTCTGAGAGAATGCATGGGAAAGACAAAGTGGAAGTGGAAAGGAGGGCAGGACAAAAGAAAGGAAAAAGCGGGGGAAAGTGAGACATACACGTCAGGCGTCAGGGTCGGGGGTGCGGGGGGCTTCCACGATTCCTGGCGCCTGGATCTGAGGCAGGACATTGCCGAGAACCTCCCGAGCCTGCCTGTGGCCCGCGCGGCCCCCTCAGAGGCGCGTGGGGTGCTCCCGGCCCTCCCGCCTCCTCCCTCTGGCCCGCGCGGCCCCCTCAGAGGCGCGTGGGGTGCTCCCGGCCCTCCCGCCGCAGTGGCGGCTGTGGCCCGCGCGGCCCCCTCAGAGGTGCGTGGGGTGCTCCCGGCCCTCCCGCCGCCTCCTGCCTCTGGCCCGCCCGGCCCCCTCAGAGGCGCGTGGGGTGCTCCCGGCCCTCCCGCCGCCTCCCTGTGGCCCGCGCGGCCCCCTCAGAGGCGCGTGGGGTGCTCCCGGCCCTCCCGCCACAGTGGCGGCTGTGGAGCGCGGGCTGGGCCTCACCTTCTCATGCTTGCGCAGCAGCTCATGCCGCTGGAGGAAGTACTGGTCTTTGAGCTGCTGCTTCACCAGCTGGTGCCTCTCCTGCAGGTGATGCTCCTCCATCTCCCACAGCGCCGCCTCCCGGTCTGCAGCGGACACAGCACCCAGTGACGCGTAGCCGGCCAAAGCCCCCAGGCCCTCCCCTCCCCTCCGGAGCAGGTGCTCTCACACGGCGGCTGGTGATGGTGCCCCCTCATCAGACTTGGCTGAGCCAACAGCTAGGAGTCTTCTCAGCACCTCAGGGATGAGAGCTCCCCGCAGCAGGGTACAGCAGGTGGTGTTTGCAGTGTCAGGATGTCAGGAGACAGAGAAACCAGAGACCTAGGCTAGGACCCAGCCATGTCACTAGGCTTTGGAATGGACAAAAAGTCTGCTTCAGGCCCCATCTTCCACCTCCGCCAAATGGGATACCATGGAGGGAGAAACATCCTTGGAAGACACTGTTACATTCTGTCTGCACTGCACCTGTGCTTCCCAAGGGGAAGATGGGAAGGGCTCATGTGGAAACCCTATGAAGGTGTGACACCCTCTTGTCACTATGTCCTACTTTGAAAAATGGTTGGGGCCCTCCACATCCCATCTATGCGTTTTAGAATAGTACCATTTAGTGGCATTTTATCACTGGAAGTCCATTAGTACTACAGGGCATGTAGCTGAGGTCAGATGGAGAACCTCACGCCCTGCAAAACGTAGCTGGTCCTGCTCAGCCCACTGTGAAAGTTCCATTTATTTTGTTTCCCTCCTATCCCATGAAAGCCAGCATCTACCCACAGGACATCGAAACAGTGATTTGGCTTCCAAACCAATCAGAACCACAGTCCCACAAGTAGGACGGTTCTTACAGATCATCACGTGATAAGGAAACAAGGGGAACAAACAAACTTTTCCAAAACACCCGTGGCTCTGTTCAGAATGTCACATTACCAAGGACTCCATTTTGCCTCGTCCACGCTAAGTACTGAGGGGCGCATACCATTTAAGTGCCCTGGCCATCGGAGTCCTGGCTGCAGTCCCCAGTATAATAATGAGCCAGAAACAGCACTTGTGTATCAGTCCTGTGTTTACATCTGTACGACAGACAGGGACCATTAGGTCCACAGCCCACAGGCACCAAAGTCCAATTTCCACTCAGCCAGCTGCTGTAAATGCAGTTCAGACAACAGACTTCTAGCCATTTGGAGCCTGCTTGCTTTCCATACCCCATAAAATTGTAGCCAACATCTGCTGGCCATAAATAAGACAGCCTGGGGGCTATATAAAGACCGCAAGCCCTGCATCCTCCAGAGCGCCCCACCCAGAGCCTCCCCAGCGGAGCTCCCCATGCTGAAGGCCATCACCCAGACACACGAGCTCCCCCCCTTGAGGCCCGTCTTCCCCAGGAGCCCCTCACCCACTCCCCCCGGGCGGTGACCTGCCCTGTTGTCTCTGGACAGTCTCGTGCTGGGAGGGGCCTGCCAGCACCAAACCTGCCCAAACCCCACCCCACCGGGGGACTTGAGAGCATGGCTGCGAAAGCAGGTCTGCATCCAGGCCCGCGTGGCCACTCGCGCGCGGGGCAACTCTGGCCAAAGCGCAGCGCTCTCCAAGCCTCGGTCTCCTCACCTCTAAGAACGGGCAAACGGCAGAGCCTGCCGTGTGGACTTGAGGACACGACGTGATGCAGGCACAGGGGAAGGCACACGGCTTGGCAGAGGAGGTGCCCCACACGTGACGGCTGCTCTGAGGGGCTCTGATTCTGTCCCCACCTTGCCACCCCGCTGACCGGCTCACTGATTCATTACTACAGTTTCCACCCATTCTATGATGCTCTGTTTCTCCTTCCTTCCTCGACATGCGCCAGCATGTTAAATCGTGTCTCTGATAGTGGTATCCCTGCCTCAGTCTTGACCTCACTGGGGGCTTCCCTCCTGTTTCACCACAAGGTGGACGTCTGGTCTTAGGGTGGAGAAGACGCAGCGCCCGTCCCGCCCAGGGCTGGGATGCCCCTTCAGGCCCGACGCGCGCCCCGCTGGGGCACCCACCTCGAAGGAGCTCCTGCTTCCGCGTGAGGCACTCGCGCTCCTTGTCGCAGATCTCCCGCCTGTTGTCAGCCGTGATCCTCTTCATCGCCAGCTCCAGGTCCTCCTTCTGCTTGGCCACGAACTCCCGGTCCTGTGAAGGTCGAGTACTTAGAATTTTAGGTGTGAGAATTCCCTGGCGGTCCAGTGGCCAGGACTCCACTCCTCTCTGCCAAGGGCCAGGGTGCAATCCTGCTCAGGGAACTAAAATCCCACAAGACACATGGCACGGCCAAAAAAATTTTTCCATTAAAAAATTTATGAAATTTTAAGTGTGTTTTTGGTTTTGTTATTATTTTCTTAGAGATACATATTGAGGTACTTACAGGTGAAATGATATGAGGTCTGGGATTCAATTCAAAATAATACAGTAGAGTGGGGAAGTGAGTAGACAGGACTTGACAATTACTGAGATCAGGTGATATGTATATGGGGGTGGTGGTTGTTCAGCCGCACAGTCATATCCAACTCTTTACAGTTATTATATTATTATATCTATTTTTGCCTATGTTTTTAATTTTCCTCAATAAAGAGTAAAAGCTAAAATTTAAATTAAAATTTTCAGCTACTATATATGATGTAGATAACCAACAAGGACCCACTGTATAGCACAGAAAACAATACTCAATATTTTGTAATAACCTACAAGGGAAAAGAATCTGAAGTATATATATACACATATATATATATCTGAATCACTGTGCTGTATACTTAAAACACAACATTGTATACTTCAATAAAAAATACTAAATTAAAAAATTTAAAACTTTAGGAAACATGTTAACAAACTAGAATTTGCACTAATGTTATCACTCATTGCTAGCAGCTGGTTTTGGTACATTTATATAAATGTATCTACATCTGTTGTTTCACAAAAATTACATTTAAAGACTTGAAGAGATACTTATACACCCATATTCATGGCCCTATTATTCACAACAGCCAGGGGATTGGAAACAACTCAAGTGTCCATAAACGGATAAACAGAATGTGGTATATACATACAGTGAAATATTATTCAGGCTTTAAATGGCAGGAAATTCTTATACATGCTACAACATGGATGAACCTTGAGGACGTGGTAAGTGAAGTAAACCAGACACAAAAGGGTAAATAACGTACAATTCCACTTATATGAGGTCAAATTTGTAGAAACAGAAAGTAGAATGGTGGTAGTCAGGGACTGGAGGGAGGGTATCGTGGGGAGTTCTTGTTTAATGGGTACAGAGTTTCTGATGTGAAAGATAAAGAGTTCTGGAGATGAACTGTGGTGATGGTAATGCACAATGATGTTAGTGTACTTAGAATCATTTAAACATGGGTAAGATATCAAATTTCATATTTGACCACAATTTAAAAAATTATTAAAAAGCCTTTCCATGTCATAATGTAACCTTCTATCAAAAATACATTTTAATGGCTGAATATATTTCATGGTATAACTGCACCCTAACTTATCAAACCAATACATAACAGGTTGTGTATAGATTTTCTTTTAGATACTGCTGCTCTTCACATTCTGGGAGCTAAATGTCCTTGAGCCTCTGTGATGATTCATCTGTGAGATTAGCCCTAGAAGCAGAAAATGCAGGCCAAAAGATGGATTTTGGGGGCTCTTGATACATTTTTGAGGCTCTTGATGCAATTGCCAGAGTGGTTTCCAAGGGCCAATCTGCTCTCCCTCTCAGGGAAGGAGGGCCTGTCTCCCCACCACTCCCCAGCCCTGCATTCTTCCTCTAATCACAGCATCAAGGGACAGGTTGTAGGAAAGCAGGAGAGTCTGGAGTCAGATTCAGTTTGAGACCTCGGACCCCACGTTAACTGTGTGTTGTCGACTCTCTGAGCCCTAGTTTCTTCCTCTGTAAAGGGGAAAACAAACAGCACCTATCCTGGCAAGCCATGCACACTAAAATAGATAATATATTAATACAAATACATTTGTAATGGTAGACTCTAATTTTCTTTCATTTGGGGACAGAGGAAGAGGGAGAAGATGCGAGTGTGAAGTGGCAAGAAGGCTAGTGAGGTTGGAGCAGAGGGGACTGCGTTCAGCTGGGAGAGGTGGACGGGAACCAGACCTACAGGGCCTTGAAAGCACATGGGAAGGCTGATCTGATCAGATGGGTTAAGTGAAAGTTTATCCATACGAAGGGCTTAAAGGGCTTTGGGGGGAGGGTGTCATGATCAGATCTGGATCAGATTTGGAATTCATGTCGATCACACCAACTGGTGTGAGAGAAAGAGCTGCAAGAGCTTCAGGGAAATGAGCTGGGAGGTTACTGAGTAGTCCAGGCAAAAGACGACAGGCTCGGGGGTCACAGAGATGCTGACAACTTGATGGATCCAGAGAGAGTTTGGAGATTAAAAAAAAAAAAAAATCCAAACTCTGAGAAGTGACGAAGAATTGAGGGAAAAGAGGCACCAGGAATGACAAGGCCTCTGGTCTCACAAGACAATGGAGGGCAGTGACCCCTCGGAACGTGGGAACAGGACGAGGTCTGGGAGGTCTGGACTTGATGTCTTTGAGACTCCAAGTGGGCAGATGGATATACTGGGTTGGTCAAGGAGATGTGATGTACAAACAACCATAAAACAAGGCAAGAGGTGCTAAAGGCTTTGGGAGAGATGGAAATAAATGTCTGTGGTGTCTTGCAGAGATGGGAGAGCTCACTTCCAGCTGGAGTGAGGGCAATCCAGGAAGGCTGCATGGGAGAGGTGATAAAAGGGATAGCCAGGATAATCTGACTTAGATATTCAGAATGAGGGATACGGGGGTCTCCCACGTGGCTCAGTGGTTAAAAATCTGCCTGCCAAAGCTGGAGACTCAGGTTTGATCCCTGGGTCGGGAAGATCCCCTGAAAAGGAAGTGGCAACCCACTCCAGTATTCTGGGAAATCCCATGAACAGAGGAGCCTGGTGGGCTACAGTCTGTGGGTTGCAGAAGAGTTGGACACGACTGAGCACAAGCAAGAATAGAGACAGGTGAACATTCAAGGGGCAGGGCATGGACATAGACACAGAAGGGCGTGAGGCACCGCTCACGGTCTCTCCAACCCCTCCAACTCCCCAGTTGAGGGACAAGGACTCACGAGAAGCTGCTTCTTCTGAGCGTGCTCCTCCATCTTCTGCTTCATGCTCTCTTTCCGCTGCTGCCTGGGGAGCTTCTCCACCTCATTCTTCACCTGCACCAGAAACAGCAGAGGATTGCTGGGTCAGGGCACCTCCTCACACTTCACACAAAACCACCCTGCAATCCCAGAGCTCCTGGGCCAGGGAGCCTGAAGACAAGGCCCAGCTTTCTAGGCACTAGCCCCCACCCTGCTCTCCACCCTGGTAGAGAGGGCACCCCCTGGCCACCAGTCTCCAGTTTCCAGACTCCCCCAGAGCAGATAAGTGCTGTTTTTGCTCTTTGGTACCCATGCCCCTTCTTTTGATGACAGTATCTCAGTTTCATTTAGAGCAGTAGTTTCTCAGCCTCCTTTTAAACTGTTGTCCCCTCAGAAGCCCTTTTCAGCATTTTTTCATAGTTACCCACCTCCATGAAATGTTAATCCCACAAATAACACTATCAATCTGTTAAACCATATAATATCTAAGATGTTTTTAATTCCTTGGGGGTGATATCACTCTGGCTGAGAATGCATGTTTTAAGTAGCTCCCACTCAGTGTCTGAGGGTCAGGTATAACTGATACCTCAACCCCAACTGACCCCAGGCTAAGCATAAGATCAAGACTGTCTGCAGCATTTTCCATGCCTTGGCATCAGAGACTGGTTCAGAGATGAGCAAGCAGTCCTCGCCGGGCTAGTGACAGCTTCAAGATGTTTGCTAAAATATTGGGGAAAGCCACTCTCTGTCCTTTGGGGTTGCTGATCTGGGAGGATGTAGGTCATGGTGGGCCACTCTGGAGGGATCCGCCCGAGACAGAATCAACTCAGAGAAGCAATGTTAAGAGATGAGGGAAGTGACATTTCTGGCTTCCTGGTCAGAGACTAACAGTATTCTCGAACCAGCCAGAAGTGGGCTTCTGTCTTTGATAACAGAAGAAAGAGAAGAGATTCATGACACTTCTCTGTAAGGAACCTAGATTTCCTCAGACAGTTTTCTGTGAATAACTCATCTCTTTACAGGTACCTGATATCTCAAAACACACACTCACTGACAGGGTCCTTAGGAGCAGTGACTGAGGGTAAAAATACTGTCTGTGATTTGAAAAAGAGCATTTCAGGAAGAGTTCTGCTTCTGACATAATGCGGTAAGTCAATACAACCTCTCTTTCCTGCTGAATACAATGAAAAAATCTGGATAAAATACAAAAAGCAACTACCTGAGGACTCTGAAAAGTGAACAAAAGAAGGTGACTATGAAAGGGAGTCAAGACTTTCAGAGGGGCTGGTATTGGGGGTGAGTTTCCCGGTTTCTCTTTTTCCTTTTGCTCTCCTAGCTTTGCCCCAAAATCCTGCACAGTGATGCTGTGAAAAAGTAGGTAAAACCCTAACAAGCCTCATGTTTCTGGCCAGAGAGCCGGGCAACGGCCGATAAAATTAACAAAGCTTTAGCCAGACTGAGGAAGGAGGAGGAGGAAGATGAGAGGGAAAAGGAGGCAGGAGAGAAAGGATGCTACCACACAAACTACTATATGAAGAGGGGAAAGAGAAATCAGCACAGATCCTACAGTCATTAAAAGGATACCAAGGGAATACCATGAACAGCTTTATGTCAATAAATTCAGCCCATTAGGTGAAACAGACGAATTGCTTGAAAGAAAGTACCAAAGCACATTCAAGAAGAAACAAATAACTAAAACCAGAGCAACATTAAAAGAAAACCACAGGCCAATATCTTTTCAATGAATACAGACTCAAAAATCCTCACCAAAATAATAGCAAACTCAATCTAGTAATATATCAAAAGGAAAATACATAATGACCAAGTGGGCTTTATCCCAGGAATGTAAAGCTCATTCAATATGTGAGAATCAGTCAATATAATTCACAATATCAGTACACTAAAGAAGAAAAACTATATGATCATATCAATGTAGGAAAACCATTTGATAAAATTCAATGTCCATTCATGACAAAATCTATTAGCATACTAGAAGTAGAAGGGAACTTCCTTAATCTGAAAGACAGCATCTACAAAAACCCTAATCCTAACATCATACTTAACTATAAAATACTAAATGTTTTCCCCTTAAGACTGGGAACAAGGCAGATGTCCACTTTACTATTCCTGTTTAACATCCCACTACTGGTCCTTGCCAGCATGATAAAGAAAGAAAAATAAACAAAAAATATATAGATTAAAAAGAGAAATATGATAAACAATAAGGTCCTGATGTACAGCACAGGGAACTACATTCAATACCCTGTGATAAACCATGATAGAAAAGAATATGGGCTTCCCTTGTGGCTTTGACCCCTGGGTTGGGAAGATCCCCTGGAGAAGGGAAAGGCTACCCACTCCAGTATTCTGGCCTGGAGAATTCCATGAAGTGTATAGTCCATGGAGTTGCAAAGAATATGAGAGAATATATATTTATGTATAACTGAGTCACTTTTCTGTACAGCAGAAATTAACACAACATGCTAAGTCAACTATACTTCAATAAAAATTTTTTAAATAAAATAAAATGGAAGAAATAAAACTGCAAAATTGTGGTCTATGCAGAAAAATCCCAAGTCTATTTTTTTTAAAAGTCCTAGAAATGATGAATTTAAGTGAGATCAATATACAGGGCTCAATATACCAATATTTTCTTATACTCTAGCTTTAGAAATTGACATTAAAAAATAGTATCTTGTATGACAAAAACTACTGCAATGATGTAAAGTAATTATCCTCCAACTAATAAAAATAAATGGAAAAAAAAAAGTAAGTGGAAAACAAAAAAATAAAATAAAATAAAAAAATAGTATCTTGTACAACAGCACAAAAAATGAACTAAATATAATTCTAATAAAATATATGCTGAATTTGTATGCTGAAAACTATAAAACACTAAGGAAGGATGTTAAAGAAGACCTAAATGAATGGATAGATTATGTTCATAGAAAGGAAGGTTCAATATTGTTCTGATTCCATTCTCCCTAAATTGATACATGAATTCAACTCAATCAAAAATTCCATCAGATATTTTTACAGAAATCAATAAACTGATTCTAAGATATATATGGATGGGCAAAGGAACTAGAATAACCAAAATAATTTTGGAAAAAAGGAATAAAGTTGGAGGACTTACACTACCTGATTTACTGTAAAAATATATTTATCAAGACACTGTAGAATTGGAGAAAGGTAGACAAATAGATCAATGGAACTGCATATAGTCCAGTTATAGACACACAGAAATATATGGTCAATTGATTTTGCATAAAGATGCAAAGGCAGGTCAATGGAGAAAGGATAGTCCTTTCAGCAAATGGTTCTAGAAAACTGGATATCCATAGGCAGAAACAACACTAATAACAGTGACTCTCACCCACACATTACACATCTAATGTAACACTTAAAAGTGTAAAACATCTGAAAGAAAGCATGACCTTGAGCTGTGCAAAGGTAGCTTAGATACGCCAGTAAACACACAATCTGTAAAAGAAAAAATGATAAAGTAGACTTCATCAGAGTACGTACTTCTGCTTTATGCAAGACACTGCTAGAAGAACCAAAAGACAAGCCACAGATTGGGAGCAAACATTTGCAAAATATGTAACTGACAAAGGGCTGTGTCCAGAATGTAAAAAGAACTGTCAGAATTCAGTAATAAAAAAATAAAGAAATCACCCAGCTAAATAAATGAGCGAAAGATTTAACAGGTACCTTGTCAAAAAAGATATATAGACAGCAAATAAGCACATGAAAAGATATTCAACATTAGTCATTAATGAAACACAAATAAAAAGTCACAATGCAATATCACTTCCTATCAGAATGGCAAAAATAGAAAAAATCAAACTAATGATACCAACCGCTGGTTATGATGTGGAGCAACTGGAACTCATGCATTGTTCTGGAGATGTGAAATAATACAGACTGTTTTGTAAAAGTCTGGCAGCCTCTCCTAAAGTTAAACGTACATTTAACATATGACCCCAAAACCCTACCAGCTATTGTTTATCGTCTCTTCTTTCAATTCTCCGGTGTTTTCTTTCATGGCTTTGGGTTTGTAATCCAAATCCTGCCCCTGTATTCTTTAGCTTTAACAGTCTTAGGTTAGGGTTTCTCAGCCTTGGTACTTTTGACTTTTGGAGCCAAATAATTCTTTGTTGTGGGGGTTTCCTATGCACTAAAGAATGTTAATAGCATCTCTGACCCTAGATGCTATAACACCTTCTCCCCAGTCATGACAACCAAACATGTTTCTAGATATTGCCAAATGTTCTCGGTGCGGGGGCAGCGGCGGGGAGGACATGGGCTGGGCAAAAAGAGTCCCTGGTTGAGAACCACTGTCACACTACTGTCTTAGACATCCTCATAAGATATCTCAAAAATTGCATTTGTGCCACTTCACTGTCAATATCCAAGGGCTCCCCTGGACATATGGTACATGATAATTCAGCACCTGCCTAGAGTTTGTCAAAATGCCACTGACAGCCCCATTCAAGGCAGAATACAACTGAAAAGACCCACTAGCTTAGAAGGGTGCTTTTCAAGCTTGATGAAGTAGTTTTCCAGGACAGATGAGAAGCAGCAGTTTAGAAAAGGGTCTGGAGGTTTATACTAAAGGCACTGAACACTGTAAGAAGTGTTACACCACTGCCAATGGAGGGAGAAAGCAAAAGAACATTCAGAGTAGAGTCACATGGGGTTTTACTTGGCAAAGGGGCACTTGGACTTACTCATAAGAAGCCCCTGAGGGTAGGGATGTACCAGCACCACTCTGAGGGCTATAAAGACAGGCTCTCTACTCAATGTTAGATATACTGCTTTCTGATCCAACTGCCCATCTTTGGAAGAGTCCCTGGACTTGTTTCCCATTCTCTCATCAGAAAAAATTATCTGGCTTTTAACAAATTTCCAGGGTCCTTCCAGGAGTATAATTCTGTGGTATTATAGAGATCCAAACTATTTAAGAAGTAGTTAAATTATGTTTAATGAGTTTTGCCTAGGAAGGCAAGGAAACAGAGTTCTGGAAAGATTTCCTTTAAGACTGAGTCTGTTTTCACATTTAGGGGATCTAAGAAGTAAGTTACAATCGTCAACTGAGTTTCTCACGGATATTAAATGTACTGTGTGTACGGGCAATGAGAAGCAGACCACCAGTTCCATCCTCACAAAATATATTTATTATATTTCTATGCACAGACATACACAGTGCTGGGTTTAATTACTTGAAACAACAATGAAGAATAAATATGTCCCCATTCAACTAGCTTACTAATACTGATTTTTTCCTATATGCATACCTCCTAAGTGCAGGAAGGTCATTAGCATGATAAATATTTCATAATAACTGCTGTAACCATGAAAGAGGACCCAGGAGGCATCTCAAGTTTTACCCTCTGTTATTTTTGTATGTTTTCTATGCCTGGGATCAAATCATGACCAGCTTTCTCACAATCAGTGGGTTGTAGGTAAATGGACAGGGTGAACCCTGCCTTGCTCTGAACTGGTTAAACAAAAGTCCACACTGGGACTTCTCTGGAGGTCCAGTGATAAAGAATCCACGTGCCAATGCAGTGGACCCAGGTTTGTGAAGATAAGCTCGTGTGCCACAACTATGGAGCCGGTAGTCGAGAGCCCATGAGCCACGGCCGCTGAGCCCACATGGCACCCCCGCAGGAGCCCACGCACCTGGACCCTGCGTCTGCGGCCAGAGCAGCCCCCACAAACACAGGCCCGGGCACCGCAGCAGAGAGTAGCCCCCACCCATGGCAACTGCAGAAAGCCCACGTGCAGCGACAAACACCCAGCACGGCCAGAAATAAAGGAAAGACAGACATCTTCTTTAGACAGACCACTCAGACCTGTGTGATGCCCCTCGCCGGCATCCACGTGTGGGTTTCTCTGATGCAGCACTGGGCTGGCTAATGCACCCACCAATATTTCAGAGTCTGCTCACCTGGGCGTCCCACCCATTCCCACTTTCATCCCTCACCCCTGCTGGGGCAGCCTCACCACCAATCCAAGAGCCGTGGGCAGGCAGTCTCTACCCAAGCCTGCCATTCCTCCTGGGCTTCACCTGCATAGAGGTGAACTCTGCAGTCAAAAAGGCCTTCTGCCTATGGAGTAGGCCATGGCAGGATATGGAATCCTGGGACACTCTGGGGGTGTTCCATGAAGCAGAGCCTTTCACTGGTCCCACCAGCAGGAACCCTTAGACGTAACACTGATAATGGTAAGCATGACCCGAGGGGCCACCGTGCAGTAAGTGCTTACGAGGTGCCTGGCGCTGGCCGGCATTGCCATTTAGTCTATATCTCGAACAGCTTCCCAAGCGATCCTGTCATCACCTGCTTTCCCTTCTAAAGCAGAGCTCTCCTTACCTTCTCTAGTTAACCAGCCTATCTGCTCTCACAGCAAGTATTACTATGTAACAGGCAACGGTTTTACTTATTTAGTACTGTACTTTGTTTCTCTAGCTTTCCTGGAAATTAACAAATTCCTTGAGGGACCCTATCTATTTTGTTCATTAGTGTCCCTGGTACCCCATTCAATGCCACACAGGTAGGCACTCAACACAACAGCACCTGAATAACTTTCACTGTGACAGAAGACAGCCAGAACTCAGGCAATAACTTGGGAATATCACTGGTTTGGTTCCAGACAACCACAATAAGGTGAAGACTGCAATGAAGCAAGTCCCGTGAATTTTCTGGTTTCTCAGCACATAGGAAAAGTTACATTTACAAGATATTGTAGTCTGTTAAGTGTGTAATAGCATGTCTTAAAAAACTGTATATAACGTAAACATGTTTTATTGCTAAAAAACGCTAGTCATCATCTCAGCCTTCAGCCAACTGTAATCCTTCTGCAAAAATAACCACCACCAATCACCATGGCAAATATAATGATAAAGTCTGAAATATGCAAGCATTACCAAAATGTGACACAGACAGGAAGTGAGCAAATGCTGTTGGAAAAAATGGTACAGAAAGACTTGCTCGTGGCAGGGTTGCCACAAACCTTCAATTTGTACAAAGAAAACACAACATCTGCTAAGTGCAATAAAACAAGGTCTGCCTGTAGCTTGTCCAAAGCCTAGCAGTTAGCTTTGAGCCACAGTGCCAAAGACTTGGAAACAAGCCTGCCTCCCAAGCCTGTGCTCCCAGCACTGGGGCTGTGGATGTGTTTAGTATCAACCCCTCCCCTCCCCAACCCCCACATATCTCTGTCCACAAGCCCATCTCTCAGCAGGAGGTTCAGGACCAGGGTAAGCCAAGGCCTTTGGAAGGAAAACTTTGACAACCTAGACAGTGGGTTAAAAAGCAGAGACATCACTTTGCTGACAAAGGTTCATATAGTTAGAGCTATGGTTTTTCCAGTAATCATGCATGGATGTGAGAATTAGATCATAAAGAAGGCTGAGCATTGAAGAATTGATGCTTTTAAACTGCAGTGCTGGAGAAGATTCATGAGAGTCCCTTGGACTGCAAGGAGATCAAACCAGTCAATCCTAAAGGAAATCAGTCCCGAATATTCATTGGAAGGACCGATGTTGAAGCTGAAGGTCCAATACTTTGGCCACCTGATGCAAAGAGCCAACTCACTGGAAAAGACCCTGATGCTAGGAAAGATTGAAGGCAGGAGGAGAAGGGGACGATAGAGGATGAGATGGTTGGATGGCATCACCAACTCAATGGACATGAATTTGAACAAACTCCAGGAGATCACGGAGGACAGAGAAGACTGGTATGCTATAGTCCATGGGGTTGCAAAGAGTCGGACATGACTTAGTGACTAAACAACAACAAAAAGTGGAGGCACTCACCTCAGGCACAAAGGGGAATATATACCATTCTAGAAACTCAAAATTAATGCCAAAGAAACCATGAACAAAATAGCAAATACAGACAGGATCAAGTCCTATACTTGGAGGGCTCAGCCTCATTGCCTCAGACATCGCCCCTGGCTCTATCGGATCCTGCCTTTATTTTAAATAGCTGATAATCTGTTCATCGGGATTTTTTTTTATTTTTGACCACGCCATGTGGCTTGTGGGATCTTAGTTCTCCAACCAGGGGTTGAACCTGGGCCCTCGGCAGTAAAAGTGCAGAGTCTCACCGCTGGACTTTCAGGGAGTAACCCGTGATGAAAATTTTACACTAATTTCTATTTTAAAACACTGCATCAGAATATTATTTATCTTGATTTAGGACTAGCCAAGCTGTGTCATCACAGCCAGTGGCCCTGACTCCCACAGGCAACCACTGGAGGCCTCCTGGATTCACCACGTGTCAGGTCCGACACAGTAAAGTCTGGGCCCTGGGCTCTGTGGGCCCCAAAAAGCACCATGGGCCACCCCTAGAAGCTGCTCCTACCATTCCCACCTGGAGATCGGGAGCAGCCTGGATTGGCACCCCCTGCCCCAGGTCCTACCCTCCTCATTCCCATCCTTTCTCCTGAGGGCTCAGGAAAGAAAGTCTGGCCCAGCCTCCAAGTGTCTGGCTCCATGGGGGAGGCTTGGCTGCTCTCTAGGACTCAGATGCCCTGCCCCGGGGCAGGCCTCCCTTCCCTTGTTTCAGGACCATTACCTCTTTGCCACTTCCCCTTCCAGCTGTCGGGGAAAGAGGGAGAAGAGGCACGTGGGTGCAAGTGAGGGAGCTACTCTTCTAGGAGAAGGGAGAGTCAGGCATGGAGGATGTCTGTGCGCCCGCCCAGCACTCAGCTCCCCGCCTGGTGACAGCATCTCAAGTTCCCCTAAGTTGGCATCCCTTCCCTCCTCCCTGCTCTCTTCCAGCTCAGGCTGCTAAGCTGGAGCGATGTCGAGTAAGTTGCCTGAGGCCACAAGACAAGGGCCTGCCTGGAGCCAAGTCCACACGGAGGAAGGCAGAGCCCAATATATGGAGAAGGGGCTCCTGATGGCACAGCTGGAGGATGCAGATCCAGACATCCCTGGACATGCACTTCTCAGGTATGTAAGCTCCTCCAAATACCCTTTATTGCGGAGGTGAGGTTGAGCTGGGGTTTGCTCATTTGCAGCTGAGAGGGGCCTCATCCTCCCAGGATGCCCTGCTTCCGCCCAGCACGTACTCACCTCCTTCTTCATCAGTTTGAGCTGCTCCTGGAACTTGGCATAGTCCCGCTCTTGCTCCAGGCGAATCCGCTTGGCCTCCTCCCGGCGGCGCACCGCATGGTCTTGCTCCATCTTCTCTACTTGTTGCTTTTGCTGGCGCTCCAGGTTCTCCAGCTCTATGTCAAAGAACTTCTTCTTGGCCTAGAAAGAGCAGAAAAGGAAAGTTAGGAAAGGCACCTGGGAGGGAGATGGGGAAAGCCCAGAGGCTGTGGTCACTCCTGGGCTTGAGTCCCAGCTCTGCTACCTCACTGTGTGACCTGAGACAAGTCACCTAACCTCTCTGAGTCAGTTTCCTCAGGTGCAAAAGAAAGACCAGACCATCTGCCTCACAGCACTGTTGCATGGGGCTCAGGAAAGGTTACGTCCCCTTTCCTCCTGTGTGACTGAGAGGAGCACTGTGACCTGCACGTGATACTGCGTTTACAAGTCAGTGCCTAATGACATCAGGAAACCAGGGGAACTGGGAAACTGTTGTGATTTACTCTCCATGGCCAACCATCCTCACTTGGCGACCTCTGCTTGAAGAAAATAAGGAGGCAAGAAGCCCTCTGGGGACCCATCTTTTCTCACTCACGTTGATTTCTTGTTCAAAACGCTTATGCATTTGCTCCAGCTGCAGCTCATGCTTGCTGCTCAGTTGGGTTTGATTCCGATGTTCTTCTTTCTGGAGCAGCCGAAGCTCCCGGAGTTCCTGGCGCCTGAAGGGTAGAAGGATGTGGACATTCCAGTCAGAAAGTATCCTCAATGATCACATAAGTCATAGCTAAGGACACAGAAGGCGGGGGCATGGTGAGGCATCACATGATCCGGGACAGAGGCAGGACGAGAACTTAGAACTCACATTTTATTTGACATTGATTGACAGGCAACACATTAATAATCTTAGTATATAAAGAGTGCTTACAAATCAATAAGAAAAACAGGAATATCCTAATTTTAAAAAGTGGCACAGAGCATGAACAGACATAAAACAAAAGACAAAAAGAAAATTTAAATCATCTATATGGATATGAAATTCAGATTAAAAAACAAATGCCATTTTCATTAAATAGGTAAGAATATAGAGGAAATTGATACTTTCCTATATTGCTGATATGTACAAATTGACACATTTCTGGAGGACAATTTGTCAGTAGGGTATGCTTCTGACATAGTTCCACATCTGGATAGTGATTCTAAAGAGACATTCATAGATATACAGCAAAACTGAATAAGGATATTCACTCACTCCAATATTCTTGCCAGGAAAATCCCATGGACAGAGGAGCCTGGCAGGCTATAGTCCATGGGGTCACAAGAGCCGGACACAACAGTGACTAAACCACCATCCACCACCATTCATAACAATGCTATTTATAATAGTACAAAATTGGAAACAACTTATATGTCTGTCAATATAGATCTAATTAAATAAAATGTCTACCTAATTTTATTCAACCATTAAAAATGAATTTCTAGAAGGTATCAAATTACATAGGGAAAAAATCTATGAAAAATGCAGCAATTCTTTATAAACAGATAGGGACTGATCTCTAAATGAAAAAAGCAAGCTATTAAAGAGTCGGCCTATTATGCTACTGACCATCTGGTTGAAAAACAAGAAGGACCATATATGTGTGTGCACATGGGCCTGTGCAAGTTTACTTTCCTATTTAAACACTGAGTGTTTCTGGAAGGATCACACTGTAAAATATTAACACAAAGAAGGGAGCCGGGTGGCTGGCAGAAAAGTGACTAAGGGAGATGTTTCACTGGTCACCCTCTTTTCCTTTTTGAGTCTTGAACCATACCTATTCAAAATGTAAATACAATAAAAATTTGACCCAGACCACACAGTGTACCCTAACTTTGGAACATATTTATTGTCAACGTGTGCATGAGTGACACGCAGAACAATACTGGTGGCATGCACGCACACTCAGTCGTGTCTGACCTTTTGCATCCCATGGACTACAGGTCACCAGGCTCCTCTCTCCGTGGGGTTTTCCCAGCAAGAAAACTGGAGTGCGTTGCCACTTCCTCCTCCAGGGGATCTTCCTGACCCAGGGACTGAACCTGAGTCTCCTGCCCTTCCTTCATTGGCAGGCAGACTCTTTACTACTGAGTCACCTGGGAAGCCCACTGGTGGGATAAAGCCCACCTACCAGGCTTCTTTCTGAGCAAGTCCATTAAAAATTGGTGTGTATCTTTTATATAATCAGAAAAGAAATTAAAATGATGGCAGAAGACTCGGGCCTCCTGGCGGGGAATGGGGATGGCTTGGCAGCCTGTGCTCTGCTGTAGCCCAGCATCTGCAGGCTGCACCATGGCCACCCCCACCGCAGGCCTGCCTCACGGCTCTGAGCGGGCAGAGCTCCCCAGGAACTGCCCACCAGCATCTGCAGGCTGCACCGTGGCCACCCCCACCGGTGGGCCTGCCTCACGGCTCCGAGCGGGCAGAGCTCCCCAGGAACTGCCCACCAGCATCTGCAGGCTGCACCGTGGCCACCCCCACCGGTGGGCCTGCCTCACGGCTCTGAGCGGGCAGAGCTCCCCAGGAACTGCCCACCAGCAGCTGCAGGAGGGGAGCCCTCCTGCTCCCAGGGGTCAGAGAGGCCTTGTGTGCATCTTAGCTCAGCTCACTCTCCAGCCAGATGCCCTCAGGCAGTGGCTCAGGCTCTGCAGGCTCTTTCTCCGCTGCATCTGTAAAATGGGGAGATAATCTCTTCCTCACAGGTTCTTTAAGGTTAAATGCGGTGATACCTGCAGTGCCTGTCTGACACATGTCAACCACTCCCAAGTGGTAACTTCGCGAATGGTAACGAGGAAGAAGAGGCAAGGGCCGCCCAGTCTCTGGGAAAAGCCAGAGACACTTTTTACAGCTGTGTAGGGAAGCGTCTCTGGGAGCCTCTGCATTTCGGGAAGAGAGGAGACAGGAGGCGATTTCTGAGAGCGTAAACAAAGACATGGAAATCCTGACACAAGAGGAACTAAGGCTCAGAGAGCGACTGACAAGAAACAAGCAGAGTAAGGTAAGCAGCCAGCTTCTGACGCGACCTCCTGACCCACCGGCCTTCTCAGAAGGGAGAGGCAGGCCGAGACAGGCTCAAGAAGGAAAGAATCAGCTCCAGGAGCTTCAGGGAAAACCAGAAAGAACTCTGACCCAGCAGCTGCAACCTGCACGAGTGACTATTCGGTGATCCTGTTCCAAAGCCTACACGGGACCCAAGCCTCCGGAAGTGCTAGAACCCAGGTTCAACCAGGGACGCGGCAGAGTCTGACAGGCCGCAGCCCGGCCGGACTCACGGGGCCTTCAGACCACAGCAGGCAAACAAGAAAAGTCTCCTTCTTTGCGAGCACCTCTTCTCCACCTCGGCAAAACTCACCTTTGAAAGCTGGGCAGCACCCGCTCCTCTGCTGAGGAGGGAGGTAGGGGTCCCGCCTCAGGGTCACTTTCAGATGGGGTGCGGTGGAGCTGGAATTTCAACCCCAGGAGCCCGAACTGCCCAGAGGGGAGAGGACAGGAAGGAAATCCAGCCCCTGAGCGTGGAAGCCCGAGCAGTGACCATGAGAACAGAAGGCGGTGTCTTCAGCCGAGAGCAACCACGACCACCCCTCCCCTGGCCCCGAGCCCCCCCAGCACACACAGAGGAGGCCACCTGATGCAAACAGCTGACTTACTGGAAAAAACTGATGCTGCGAGAGACTGAAGGCAAAAGGAGGAGGGGGTGGCAGAGGATGAGATGATTACATGGCATCACTGACTCAATAGACATGACTTTGAGCAAACTCCAAGAGATAGTGAAAGACAGGGAAGCCTGGCATGCTGCAGTCCATGGGGTCGCAAAGAGCCAGACACGACTGAGCAACTGAACAAGTAACCTCACCAGTGAAAAGTCCACCCGTCATCCCCCTGGCTTCAAGAGGGGAGACGTGCCCCTAGGTATCCAAAACCCCTCCTCTTTGGCTTTGGAATGTCTGTGCTTTTCTAAGATAAGAATGTGTTTGATGTTTCAGAGGTGTCCTCCAAGCCAGTCATGAATTGTTCCAGCAAAGCCCTGGCCTCAAGGCAGCTTCGTGGCTCTGGGGCCTCCCTCTCTAGCTGCTAAGCCCCCACCTCCATCCCTGGGAAGCCCCCCAGAAAGCTTCCTGGTCCAGTGGAAGCTGGTAGACTTCTCACAGACAGATCTTCTCACTGGGTGACCTGAGGCAAGTAAGTTCCCACCAAGAAACGCTGGTTCCTCATCTACAGAACGGCTGAAGTAGGGTCTCCCTGGGGAGGGCTGTCAGGGCCGCCTGAGTGCCTTAAGATTGCAGAGATGACTCGGTGCAAACAGCTCTGCCTCACACCCTCCTGCCCACACCAACCCCTCCCATCTTCAGCTTTGCCTCCAGAATGCATGCTGAACCCAACCTGTCCCGCCACACCTGCCCTCTGTCTGGCCACTGTCCCGGCCAGGGTCTCCCTGGATCCCTGCTTCAGTCCTGCCCCCGCTATAGCCCAGACTCGGATGACAGCAGGGCTGGCTTTTAAAAGGGACATCACAGCTGGTCACTCTCCAGATGCTTCATTCCAGTTGTTTTTGTTGTTGTTGAATCGCTAAGTCATGTCTGACTCTTTACAACCCCATGGACTGCAGCACACCAGGCTTCCCTGTCCTTAACCATTTTCTGGAGTTTGCTCAAACTCGTCCATTGAGTCGGTGATGCCATCCAACCATCTTATCCTCTATTGTCCCCTTCTCCTCTTGCCCTCAATCTTTCCCAGCATCAGGATCTTTTCCAATGAGTCGGCTCTTCACATCAGGTGGCCAAAGTATTGGCGCTTCAGCATCAGTCCCTCCACTGGGGATGAAATCTACCTTTCCCCACCCCTGCCCGTGGACTGACGTGACCTGGACCCTGTGGGCCCTGGGAACAACTCCGCATCCTCTCCCTCCAACTCCACACTCCAGCTCCGCCCTCTCAGGTCCCTGAACAAGCCTTGGCTTTGCAGTTCCTGCCACGCTCTCCTGGTTCTGCCACTGGCCGGCTCCTCTGAACCCTCTGCTCTGCTCAGGGATTTCCCGCCAGGCAAGGCCCCCCACCCCTAGCCCAGTGGCCACTCTCCCATCAGCCATTATTCCCTTCACAGCATGTACCATGGTTGGGAATTATCTTGAATGCTGTTTGCTGGCCCATGAAGGTTCTACCCCAGCCACAGCCTCCATTATCTGGGTCATCCGTGTGTCCCCCAACCTGGGGAGGGGGTGTGGATACGTCCGTGAACAGATGGCTGGCTAGCTGGAGGGGAGGCTGGAGGAATGCGTGGACAGGGAGCTGAGTGGGTGCGTAGGTGATGGGTGAGTGGGCGACTAGAAGGATGGGCTATAGGATTGAGGAATGGGTGTGTGGATGGACGGATGAATGAGTGAGTGGGCACAGGGGTGGGCTGATGAGTGGACACGTAAGTGGAGGGGGAGGGAAGTGGATGAAGAGGTGGGTGAGTATATGGAGGAGCGAAGTGAGTTAGGGAATACAGGGTCTCAGGCAAAGCCAGATTCTTTTAGTGTCCCTGATTCCACACTTAATGCTGGAGACAGACAGACAGCTTTTTTTTTGGCAGCGCAGCAGGTGAGATCTTAGTTCCCTGACCAGGGATTGAATCTGTGCCCCCTACAGTTGGAGCACACAAACCAAAACACTGGACTGCCAGGGAAGTCTCAGACAGACAGATCTTGCACCAGAAAGACCCACATCTACCATCTCATCTCTGCCCTGTTACGGGCATCAGCAGCCCCTCCCAGCCTCACCTGAGGAATCGCATCTCCTCATCCTTCTTCTCATCCTCGCTGATGATCTTGGAGGTGGTAATGCTCACCTCCACGCCGTCCACCACAAACTTGCGTGTCCTCTTCAGGGTCTTATTGTGTAGCCTTGAGTCCTGGCCAGGGAAGATCATTAGGCAAAGCTCAGTATTACAGCCACGAATCCATGCGTGGCCCAGTCTCAGCCCGGACCAGGAAGGAGGTGACTGTCCATGGTCCCCCGCTTGCCTCAAGCTTCTCAACCTGGAAGCCTGAGTCTGTGAGGTTAGGCCCCCTCCTCTCCCTGACCTCACCCTTCGGACACTGCCCAGCCCCTGCCTGCTGACTGCCGGCACCCTCTCACACACAGGTCGCAGCATCCAAGCGAACTGGGTTCCAACTCTCCTTCTACACCTACTGGCCCTGTGACCCTGGGCAAGCCCCTTGTCCTGCCCAAGCCTCAACCTGTCAGAGGAGAGCAGTGCTTGCCTCCCAGGCTTGTTCTGAAGATGCAATGAATCAGGGGCGGATGGAATTCAATAGCACTTGGGTCATGAGAAGGGTTCAACACTTGGTATTTATTTCTGACAGTTACTATTGCAGACCACTCTTCTCTTATCTTCAATGCCAAAATCCAAGGAGCCTGGAAAATCAGAGTTCAGAACTATGTTGGCAGCCAAACCTAACCTGACCTGAACTCCACAGAAGGCCACACCCCTCTGGAGCCACCTTGAAATTACTTGTATCTTTGTCTTTACCTTTTCCTATGAATAATTATGCCCCTCACCTGTGATCGCATACACAGTACTGCCAGAACTCCCGGAGGCATTTAAATACTCTTTGAACGTTCTCCATCCTGACTGGGATGAGCCTGTGGATCTGCACTGGAGTCTTCACGGCATCTCCTTCTCCAACTCCTCCCCTAGCTTCCAAGGCCCCTCCTGGTGGAGCCCAGCCTGGCCTTTCTAGCATCTCCCTACGGCAGGCCCCCCTGCGCACCAGGACTCAGGATGAGTCAGACTAGCAACCAGGAACAGGCTAGCTGGAGATGGCGAGGGAGAAAGGCCTGGGGTCCCGGTCACAGGGCCCTGCAAGGGGGTAACAGACTCCCCGTGAAGCCAAGGGCGCTGACGCAGCCAGGCGCTCTTATCAGAGCAGCTGTGTTCCCTGACTCACTGCCAGCTCACCAGTAAAGGGATGCTCTCAACACCCTCGAAGAGAGGCGAGGTGGATCAGACTTTAAAAAAAAAATTATCTTTTTTTCCTAACCCTTAGTGTCTTTTCAAGAAGGGAAGGGACAGAAACCCTGTCCTAAGGGCCCCAATGCTTCTTACGCCTAAAAGCTGCTGCCCTCTCTGCTCGCCCTGTTCTATTTGTCTGATTTTCTCACTTTAAAAAATTGGCTCTTAGTTTTGTGCTTGTTTTTAATGTAGTAGCTTTAAATGTAATATGATCTAATCTATTCAATTTTTTGGTGTGATTTCTCTCCCCCAATCCACCCCACCCCCCAAAAAGAAAAAAGAAATGCGCTTTCTTTCTGTTCCCAAAGCTTACTGCAACAGTTGGGTGCTTCTCCTTTTTCCTTCTTTCATTTGGCCAATATTTTTGAGTCTGCGCTGTGTGGTTTTCAAACAAAAGGTTGCAAAACATTTCCTAAATTCAGCCTTAGTTGAGGGGGAGGTTCTTGGGGTGGCCAATCAGGTGACCAAAGGTGAGTTCATGAACATCTCATGATTTGCGGGAGCGGGCTGGGGAAGGTCAGGCCTTCCTGAGGACAAAGAGGCCACAGCGCCCACCATCAGGACGCCGTGACACGCAGGATTCAGAGTGCAGAGTCTGGGGTCTGACCAGCTCCCCACCTCCCACCTGAGCCTCTGTTTGCGGGGCTGGACTCGGCAATATGGTTCCTTTGAAGCACTCTGCAGCGCAGGCCTCACGTTGAGCTCTCAAGCGCAGTGGCTAGGGTCACTCACAGTGCCGCTCCCCCTCAGAACAGCCACGAGCCCACTCCCTTTCGCTGAATCTATCAGCAAATGGACCACACAGCTGATCCACAAGTCAGAGAGCTTTCACTTCTAGAATTCTCTCTCCCTAACTTGACCAAGCCTTTAACCAAACCCAATTTAAATAGAACCCCAAACTGAAATTAAAACCCAAACCTACTGCCTGACACGACTTAACCCCAGACTGAACTCAAGATATTTGGAGGATTAAACAGTGACTCAAACAAAGAGCTCGTAAGAAAGAGAAATCTCATGAACCACTTAAAATGCAAGGCAGCCACCGGACACTCTCACAACCCAACACTGAGCAGCAACACTTGTGCAGGACGCCTGCCCCGAGCCCGCACACAAGAGGTGTGGTTACCTTGATGGACAGACAGCCTGACTCCTTGTTCACGGACAGGTCTGCTGACAGGGAGGTGCCGAAGTCCGTGCTCCCGGAGGTGGAGACGCTGCCACAATCCGAGTCCCTCTTGGCAAGGCTCCGCGCCCCTGGGGCAGGGAGCTCCAGACTGCCATTGGTCAGCTCGCCGCCCAAGGTCTCCAGGGCGCTGCTGTTGGGACGGCTCTGGCTGGTTTTCTGGGACCTGCTGGCCGCTGGACTGAGGTCTCCACTTTGGTCAGCAGCTGGCTGCTCCTCGGACACCTGAATTCTGGCTCCCATGGACACCGGTCGGAACTTCCGAAGGGGCACGGGCACCGCCGGGCCGTTCTCATTTCCAGGGGCCACATCCGGGGTGCTGGTGGGGAGGGCCCCGTCCCCAGCGGGTTCGCTGGGCCCATTCACACCGTCCTGAGGCTGGCTGGGAGGTGGCGTGGTAAAAGGTGATTCTTTGAGAAGTTTGTCTGCATCGAGGCTCAGCTGACTCACCTCGGAGGAGTCTCGGGTGTGGTTCCCCAGAGGCTAGGAAAAAACAGACAGTTAAGGCCATGGTCCTATGTGTCTGAGGCAAGAGTCAGAGACGCAGCGAGTCTGGACAGTCAGATACCCACAAGGTTTGGAAGAGGGCCAGGGAGGCCTCATGGGCACCCCGCTAGTGAGCCGCAGGCCTCCCCACTCCCTGCTGCCCAACCAACAATAAAAGTACCACTTGCTTTCAGGAACAGGTATTCCTCCTAGGAGTGGAGGCAACCGCGGCCAGCTAGACAGCTCGAGCCCCGTCTAAAGGCGGCAGCAGCTACTATGCTCTAGTCAATCACGACAGCCTGAGAAAAATAGGTCCCCTAAGCCCAGACCTTCCAGCTTTTCAAGACAAGCTGGAACCTGGAGTTTCACAATGCCATCTCCCAATTTTTAGATGGCAACTAATTCAGATTTTTAAAAAGTCACAGAAAGGCCAAGGCAAACTGATCCAGAGGCTAGATTTCAGTCTATTAACCACTATGTTTTCTGTTTTGTTTTTGTTTTTTAGAGCTTTTGGGGGGTAAAAGTACTGAAAGTGTTGCTATTGTGAAACAGAACAAGGATTTCTGTGGATGAAACATAAACATTCCTCTTAATGAATAAAGTGAGCACCCACATAGCCACCTTCCAGGTCAAGAGTGGGACACATCCCAGCCCTGGGACCCTCCCCTTGTCCAGGAGGGTCTCCCTGTGTCCAGCCTCCCCTTGACATTGTCCTGACCTTTATCTCTAAGTGTTATAGGTTAGTTACAGGATTCACACACCAGCTCCAGTTCCTCCCAGGAATGAATTACACTTGAGGAAGTGCTATATCGTCCTTCCCCAACAGACAGGTCTGGACAAGCCTCGCACAGGTCCACAGCACCATCTGGACAGTAAGTCTCACCTCCTGGGGGAAGCTGTCCCCAAATGACTAGATCACGGATCCAAAAGTGGTAGTTCAGGACAGAATCCAGCCCACAGATGTGTTTGGTTTGGCTCAAATGTTTTGTAAAAATTTAAATTAGCTTTAAGGCTCTCTGGTGGCTCAGAGGGCAAAGTATCTGCTGGCAGTGCAGGAGACTCAATTTCAGGCCCTGGTTTGGGAAGATCCCCTGGGGGAGGGCATGGCAACCCACTCCAGTATCCTTGCCTGGAGAACCCCCATGGACAGAGAAGCCTGGTGGGCTACAGCCCATATCCTTGCAAAGAGTCGGACATGACTGAGTGGCTAACACAAACGTTTTATAGAAGTTTAAACTGCTTCAATTTAAATTTACACTCAGCCAAGAGCTGAAGCTGCAGATGGGTTACAAGGGTGCCAAGACATGGGTCCCTTGGGCACTCGCGATGGCCAGACGGGGTCTGGGGTGCTCGGAGCCCCTCAGCCTGTTGCCTCTGATCACGGGCAGTCTTTCTGTGCATTGAGCCCACCGTGTGCTACACACATCCTCATTTTGTATGTGAGTCACAACGGGGAGCAGGCTGGGAGCAAAAGGAGTCAACTACCAACTTTTAAAAACTGGAAGATCCCACAGAGAAGTCTGATTCCTGGTCATCCCTGAAAATTACAGGATCTGGCCAAAACACCCTGCTGCCTCATCCCGGCCCTTGTGCTGTCTTACATAGACAGGCTCCCCGGTGGCGTGGGAGCCTGTGACCTCTGAGCTGGGAAAGAACAGAAAGGAAGCTCTCCTGCGCCTCCTGGGTGCCCTTCCGCCCCAGCTGAGGCTGCAGGGACCCCACCCCTCCCCCGTGCTCCCCAGCACCCCTGATCTCCTTACAGAGGCAGCCTCCACCGCATCTTCCTCATCCCCCTCATCTCGGCCGTCTTCAATCTCCTCCATGACTTCAGCCTTGGCCTCGGCTACCAGCTCCCGCAGGGCCTTGTTGCTGGTGACGCTGCTGACGAAGGGATGCTGAGAGGGGCAAGACAGCTGGGTGAGAATCACAGTGGGCGAGGGGAGGGGTGGTGAAGAGGGGCAGCCAAGGCCGGGGGAGGCGATCCCCCAGGCAGAGAAGGCTGGCAGCATCCCTCAGGGAAATGTGACCTTGAACTCGGTCAGGCAGACCCAGAGGCAGCTCAGAAAGTCCTGTGTGTGATGAAGGAGGGCAAACGCCATCTCTGCTGCTCACTAGCTGTGTGACGGTGAGCAGGTCCCTTTCCCTCTCTGAGCTGCGGGCTCCTCACCTCTGCACGGAGAAAATTATACCAAACCCACAGGGATGAGGGTGGAATGAGAGCAAGCGCAGAAAGGAGCTTAGCCCAAAGTGGGAGCAACAAATAATGCTTCAGGAGGGTTACTTGTGTATTTGTTTGTTTATTTTTTATTTTTCTTGGCCATGCCATGTGGCTTGTGGGATTTCAGTTCCCTGACTTGGGACTAACCTGGGCCCTCAGCAGTGAATGCATGGAATCTTAACCACTGGACCACAGGGAATTTCCTGTTAATTTACTTCTTAAAAAGATTTTAAAGATGTAGTTTTAAAAATATTGGCTTCCCTGGTGGCTCAGTCAGTAAAGAATTGCCTGCAATGCAGGAGACTGCCTGCAATGCAAGAAACCCAGTATAATATCAAGTATGTACATACATAGTATAATATATAAAATATAGTACGTACCTACAGTATAAAATATAGTATGTACATACATATACACACATATACTTTATTGAGGAATTACACACAGAAAAGTTCACAAATCATTAAGCTCAGTGACTTTTTCCATATATACAGACTCAGTATAACCACCACCCAGCTCAAGACACAGAATATTTCCATCACTTCAGGAAGGTCCCCGTCGCCCTTGCTGTCAAACCCATTGCCCTCAGCTGTCCAGCTCCAGAGACTAGTTTTGATTGTTATTTAACTCCATCTGAACAGAATCCCAAAATATGTAGTCTTTTGTGTTGGCTTTCTTCACTCAATACAACTAAGCTGAGACTGAGATCCCCCTACCTTGTTGCATGTCAGTAAACTGTTCCTTTTTTAACTTTTTAAAAACTTATTTTTATTTATTTTTTAAAATTTTGTGGCCACACCACGTGGTATGCAGGATCTTAGTTCTCCAACCAGGGATCAAACTCATGCCCCCTGCAATGGAAGCAAGGATTCTTAACCACTGGAATGACTTCCAGGGAAGTCCAACTGTTCCTTTTTGATTACCGTGCAGTATCCTATCACGTGACAATGGCGCAGCTGTTTATTCTTTCTGCGGCTGATGGCCACTTATGTTTTAATAAAGCTGCTATGAAAATGCTTGTATAGGTTTTGGGTGTTTGCAAAATCTTGAGGCCAAGTAGTATATGTTGTATTCTGAGGCATTTACAGAAATGTCACATCTCTAAAAAGTGAAAGTTATTTCATGGTCCTTGGAATACACCCAAGCTTTTAAGGCCTCAGTAGATGGTAAACGAGCTCGCAGATCTGCCCTGCATCAGGGTGTGGAAAGGGGTGTGGGATTCCTCAATTCCCCACACTCACCCAGGGCCGCTTAGAAAGGCACACTGGCTCCTGGTGGTCCCTAGCTAAGCCTCCACGCTCCCAAAGCAGGGGGCCAGTTTCGACCCCCCGTCAGGGAACTAGGTTCCGCATAACACAACTAAAGGCCCGGCACAGCCAAACAAATAATTTTTTTTAAAAAAAAAGAAAGGCATGTTACGGGTGGTCATTAAATTAGAATTTGTTCATTTGAAATTTGCAGGAAGGTTCCAATGAAATTCGGTGTTTTTACTGTCAGAAAATTTATCAGTGGAGGAACAGTGTGAACAGGATTGCAGGGTACTATATAAACGACTAAAGAGAACAAATTGTCTAGCACCTTGAAAACACATTCACAGCAGATAGGTCCACTGAAGATCATTCTTATCTGCTTATTCATTCTTATCTGCTTAGTTCATTTGTGAAAGGCCAGAAGCAATACCTGTTCACCTGGGCACCTGAGCCTGCACACCGGAAAGCAATGCAGCTCAGCCCTGTTAGAGAGCTGTTATTCAGACCGCCTAAACCAGCTGGGCTTCCTCTAGTCAGTAACAACTAGGAAAGGCGTGAAGGACTGCATTTCCCATCCTTCTCTCCCACTCCCCTCTTCATTTGTCGATTCACCCCTCAGTCCTGTGTTGAGGCCAGCAACATGCCAGGTGCTGAACTAAGGCCAAACAAGCAGACAGGCAAGGCCCCCGGCCTCGGGAAAGACGATGGGCATGTTACCAAATGACAAGAACACTTCTCAGATCAGGTGAGAGGACAGCACGAGGCTGGAGGAACACGGGCCGGGGGTGCTGAAGGGGGGAGGAGTTTGCTTAGGTCAGAGGGGCCTCCTTGGGAGGGGACACTCAAGTTGAGACCTGAGGGGACATAAAGGGGCAGACCAGGGCAAGACCTGGGCACAGAGAATTCCAGGCAGGAGCATAAGCAAGTACAAAGGCTGCAGCAAAGCAGCGCTATAAACTGGGGCCCTTCAGAGCTGCCACTCCAGCAGCCAAGTGGCTCTGAGAGGTCTTGAACTGGATGTTAATAAGAATGTACTAACTGTGGGAAGCAGGAGAGTATAGCAGTGAGCACTGCAGGCTCTACACTTGAGACCAGGCTGCCTGGGCTAAAATCCCACTTTCAACAACTCAGACAAGTCACTCAACCTCTTTGAGCCTTAGTTTGCTCATCTGTACCCAATAGTAAGGATGTTCTAAGCATTGTAGTGAGAGGTCAAAATATGGATCAAAAAATCATCTGCATAATCATCACCATTACCATCATCCTCATCACCACCATCACCACCACCATCGTCATCACCATCGTCACCACCATCACCACCATCGTCATCACCATCGTCACCACCATCGTCATCATCATAACCACTATCACCATCACCACCACCACCACCATCACTACTAACACCACTGTCATCATCACCACCATCGTCATCACCATCACCACTATCATAACCACCACCACCATCATCACCACCATCTTCATCACCACCATCAGCACCATCACCATCATCATAACCACTATCACCATCATCACCACCACCAGCATCACTACTAACACCACTGTCATCATCACCACCATCACCACCATCGTCACCACCATCACCACCATCATAACCACCACCACAACCATCATCACCACCGTCACCACCACCATCACCACCATCTTCACCACCATCACCATCATCATAACCACTATCACCATCACCACCACCACCAGCATCACTACTAACACCACTGTCATCATCACCACCACCACCACCATCACCAACATCATAACCACTATCATCATCACCACCACCAGCATCACTACTAACACCACTGTCATCATCACCACCATCGTCATCACCATTGTCACCACCATCACCACCATCATAACCACCACCACCACAACCATCATCACCACCGTCACCACCACCATCACCACCATCTTCACCACCATCACCATCATCATAACCACTATCACCATCACCACCACCACCAGCATCACTACTGACACCACTGTCATCATCACCACCACCACCACCATCACCATCGTCATCACCATCGTCACCACCATCACCATCATCATAACCACTATCATCATCATCACCACCACCACCATCACTACTAACACCACTGTCATCATCACCACCATCACCACCATCGTCATTACCATTGTCACCACCATCACCACCATCATAACCACCACCACCACAACCATCATCACCACCATCGTCACCACCACCATCACCACCATCTTCACCACCATCACCATCATCATAACCACTATCACCATCACCACCACCACCAGCATCACTACTAACACCACTGTCATCATCACCACCATTACCATCCCTACCACCATTATTATCATCACCGCCATCAGAAGAACCACAATCAGAGAAGCCTGTTGGCACCAGTCTGCACTACCAGCCACTCCCATTCCCTCCTGAATCCCCATAGAGCACATGTGTTTTAGAACTGAGAATGAGAATCAGATCCCAAATGTTCCCAAGCTTCACATTGCACAACCTCACACATGTGAACTTGAGCAAGAAGCCACAGGACACTTCACTGCAGTGGCTGAAGCAGATGCGGCAGAAACAAATAATGCCGACACAGGCTTCTGGAAATACCAGGTTTTTATCAAGCCACATCACATATTGACCAAATTAGTGGTTCTTCAGCTTGGCCAGAAGCTGTGCTTTCTTGAGGCTGAACATCTGCTCCACGCCCTCCCTTGAGTACCCCGGGGTCTTTAGGAAGTGGAGGGGGGACCGTGGGAAAGAAGGCTTCTGAGAAGGGGCAGGTGAGCAGGGCCACTCCCCTGGACCCCAAGCTCCTGGAGTCCCCGGGCAAGCGAGGCTGGCAGGCGGAGGAGCAGGCCCTCCTGTCAGATGAGGCCCAGAAGACTGTTCCGTAAACTGCTCTGGACACAGGGCACAGATACCTCCCCCACTGACTCAGCTGTTACCTCCGGGATGTATTTAAAAGGATGTTCCAACTGCCAAGGCCCACGAGAGACAAAGTGCAGCCCAAGAAGGCGTGGGACCTCCCCTGGCAGCCAGCACACTGCGCGCCACCTGGGGACAGGCTCGTCTCGGCACAGGGTCCCTGGGAAGGCCCTCAGGCGCCCCCGAGAGAGACCCGGATCAGAGCCTCAGCAGCCTGCTCCCGAGGCCCGCTGTTTCATGCTGTCTCTGAGGTGAGCTCCATGATGCCGCAGAGCTTACCGACTGGCAGCCAGCGTCCAGCCAGGACTCTCCTGCCATCTCCAGTCAACCTTCCAAGAAGCTGAGCCCAGTTTTCCTCTGTGTAATTAGAAGTCATCAGCCGGGAACTTCCCTGGAGCAGGGGTTAAGACTCTGCCTTCAATGTAGGCAGCAGGGGTTAGATGCCTGGTCAGGGAACTAAGATCTCATATGCCACACAGTGTGACCAAATAAAAAAGGAAAATTAAAACAAAAAAAGAAACTGCCAGCCGGGGTATTCCATACTCCAGGACTAGCTTTAAGAAATGCCCAGTAATACGTCCAAGGTTTCAGATGTCAGTATTGTTCCTTCATTCTCCTTCCCTCACCTCCTAACTTTCTTCCTTCTCTTCTCTCTCTCCTTTACTCATTCAGAGAGGCAGATTACTAGAGTGGTCAGATGAACAGGTTTTGGAACCAGATGACCAGAAAGCAGCCCTGTCACTCACATGCTGTGTGACCTTGGGCAGGCGACTTGACCTGTCTGTGTCTCAGTTTCTCTGTCATCTGTTTGACAGAGATCCAAACAATATCTACTTCACAGAGCCGTTATGAAGATTAAATCAGTTAACATTTGTTAAACATTTAAAATCAAACCTGGCGTGGGAAAAAGGTTATGTAACAGTTTACTAAGTAAAAATAAATATATTTTAGCAAATATTTGGTCGAAGGCCCGCTCCATACCAGGCACTGTTCTGGATGACCGGGGCATACTGGTGGAAAAAAAAAAAAAGCTGCTGTCTCCAGGGAGCTGACACGCTAGTCAGGGTGACCAACAATAAACTTGATAAACGAGTTATACACTCTAAGTGGTATGTGCCACGGAAAAACTAAAAGTGGTGCAAGAAGACTTCCCTGGTGGTCCAGTGACGGAGAATCCGCCTTCCAATGCAGCAGACACGGGTTCAATTCCTGGTTGGGGAACTAAGACCCCATGTGCCTCAACTAAGACCCAATGCAGCCAAAAAAAAAAAAAAAAAGTAGGGCATAGGAAGGAGAATTAGGAACGTGGCGGGGTGCAGGTGGTTTGCAGTTTTAAATAGAACACTTGGGGGAGGCCTCACTGAGAAGCTGCCACGTGAGCAATGACTTGAAGAAGGGAAAGAGTCAGCCATGGAGGTGTCTAGGGGAAGGGCAGCCCAGGCACAGCGGACAGCCAGTGCCAAGACCCTGAGGCAGGAGGGCGCCTGAGTGTCAGCAAGGAGGCTGGTTGGCTGTGGAAGAGTGAGTGGGTGAGAGAGAGATGTGAGGGATCCAGGTGAGATGCACAGCCCTTGCTGGACCCTGCAGGTCACTGAGCCTCTGGACTTTATCCTGAGTAAGATGGAAGCCTCAAGGGGCTTGGACTCAGGAGGAATAGGAGCTGACTTGTGTTTTTCCCTCGGCTACAATGGAGGTGGTGAGAAGTGGCTGGATTCTGGGCACGTTCAGAAGGCAGGGATGATGGGACTCCTTGGTAGAATGAATACAGAGTATGTAAGAAAGACAGGGTAATCCCTCTGAGAAGATGACTGCAAGGTTTGGGGCCTGACTGCTGGCAAGGTGGGGCTGCTGTCAACTGGGATGGGAAAATCATTGCCAGAGCATATTTGAGGAAAGATCAGTGGTGGACTTGTTAAGTCTGAGATGCCTGTGGACACCTAAGGCAGGTAGAGAATACTAAGGCGGGTGGAGGGTAAACAATTGGACACAAGGGTTTGGGGTTGGGCAGGGCAGTCTGGGCTGCAGGCAGAAATACAGGAGCCTTGGCAAACTAGGCGAGCCCATCGAGATGATGGAGATGGAGGAAAAGGCCCCGGCAAACCTCATGTGAATCAGCTGGAGAACGAGGAACAGGCAAAGGAGACGGGCTAGTGACCAGTGAGAAGGAAGGAAACCAAGGGGGCGTGGAGACCTGACGTCAGGTACTAACAAGGAAGATGAGAGTCACCTGCAACTGCTGCTGGGTCCAGCAAAACCAGCCCTGAGGCCAGAGCTGACCATGACGTCCAGAGGTGCCAACAACCTTGAAAAGAACGCTGGGCTGCAGTGGAGCAGGTTGAAGAGCAAATTCGACAAGTGTATACTGTGTACCAAGGATGCTCCAGACGTCAGGGGTTTACAGACCTGCATCCATGCACACACTTCTGTGATGTGAGCATGAGCCACCTCCTGCAGAGGAGGAAACTGAGGCTCAGGGTGAGGACCACTCATATTCCTGGCGGGTGAGCCTGATTTCAGAGCCTGGGGTACCACCAAGTGATAACGGTCCCAACTAACATCGAGGAAAGCGAATGAATGGACTAAAAGCCAGCAGGGGCATATGTCAGTTGGCTGAAGGCAGGATGTGGGGAAACATGAGGGCCAGGAGGAACCAGCAGTGAGCCAAGGGCTGAGGCGGGGGCATGACCAACTCAGGAGGGGGCGCTGGCAGGTTGAGATCTGGGCTCACGTCTGGCCACTCAAAGCCAGGTGACCTCGGTAGGCCAGCTCCGTTCCCTGAGCCTTGGGACCTCACCTCCGGGGGTAATAATGCCCCACCCTCCCTAGCTCAAGAGATAAACAGGCACATGGAAAAAGCTGATGGCAGCCGAAGCTCTGTAAGGAGCTTTATTTGTGCAGAGGGATCTCTCTTTTCTTCTGCAACCCTTCTGTCTTAGCAAAGAGTCCTCTGGCAGGAAGGTTTTTTCCCCAACTATGGAAAGGAAATTCTGGCCCAGGCTGAGGTTCCCGGGCTGCCACAGGGGACAAGAGACAGCTGGCCTCTTCCTGGCAGTGTCCTGGAGGCCGGATGTACAAGGCCAGGAGGCGAGTGCTCACAGGAAACAATTGGCCGGAGGAGCCCGGAGCTCTCGCATCCGACAGTGACAGCAGTCCGCCCCTGCCCCCACCGCTGGCCGGCCCAGACCGTCCCTGCCCAACGCCTCCCCACCCAGCACGTGAGGCCTCTGTCACTCCAGCCGTGTGACTGCAAACACAGGGCAGAAACCGACATGAACAATTGTGACCCTGAGCAGATAACCCCAACTTGCATCCCTGTTCCTTTCCACTTTTAAACAATTTAATTCAAGGCATCAAACAGTCAGAGCACAGCATGGCACAGTTTAGCTAAGCACTTTCCAGTATCTTCCACTTAACCCTCACAATGACCCTGTAAGGGGAGGGGGGCTGACTATTATCCCCACTTGAGAGTGGGAACAGGGTCACGGCGGGGTGAAGGCCCTCAAGTAGGGTCCCACAGCCAGGAAGCAGCAGAGCTGTGATCTGAATGCAGGCCTTCCCACCCCCAGTCCGCATACTTCACCACTATGCACACAGCCGAGAGGGAGGCCCGGAGTGCCAGCCCAGCCCCAGTGCCTGGCCCACAGGACGTCCAAACCGGGAAAAAGCGGCTGAATGTGGAGACAGCCTCCAGGGCGCGGTGGGGCGCTGGCCCCTCTCCTCCCACCGCAGTCAGAGGTGGCCACAGACAGTGGATGGTGGGGTGGAGGGCCAGCCCCTGCCCGTCCCCAGGCCCACCTCCTCTCCCTCTCCAGCAGTGTTGGTGCCCCAGGGAGAGTGACCAGGCGACCCGGAGACGGCTGGGCGAGTGGTGCGTGCAGGTTTTCAAACATAGCTGCCAAGGCTCCAACACTCACCCCGCCGGCTGTGGACACCAGGGCCCGAGGCATTGGCTCTGGACAAGGGTGGCTCACAGCTGCCTCCAATATTTCAAACAGCTTCAAGGAAGCCACCATCCACTTCCCCACCCAAAGGCCATTCAGCCAGCTAAGGGGATGCTCCCCGAGTCACCTGTCACCCTGGCTGGTCTCCCAGATGCCACATCCAACAGCCAGAGAAACCTTTGTAAGGGTAAGTCAGACAGTGTTTCCCTCCAAACCCTCACAGATGCCCTGTTCCAAACAGGGTGAAGTCCACGTCCTCCCAAGGTCCAATGTGACCCTCCGTGACCTGGTCCACTCTCCTTTGGAAGGCTGCTCCCACCATCAGCCCTTTCCTGGGAGCCTGGATGTGGAGCGGGTTCTCACCGTGAACTGATAAGAGGGGCTGACTCGGCCTGCACTGTGCAAACGATGGGGTCCATGCTGACCACCTGCCCAGCCTTCTGCAGCCTGGAACTCTGGTCCGGGCCAGCAGAGGCTGCCCACGTGGTCGGTTCCCAGTGAAACCCTAGGCCCCGAGTTCTCCAGCATGCTTCCCAGGTAAACAACACTTCACATGTGTCGCCAGAGCATACAGCTGGGGAACTTGGTGCGTCCTCTGTGACTGCACTGGGAGGGCACTCTGGGCACTTCTGCCTGGCTTTCCCCATGCACCTTTTTCTCTGCGTCCTTTTGCTATAAGGGTCACGGTGGAGAAATTGACTAGATGTTTCATACCCAGAGTCCTCTTAGGGAACTGCTGAGCCTGGGAGTGGACACACCCCATACAGCTCCGACCTTGTCTCCAGCCCACCCACCTCCCATAGCCCTGTGCTCACCCCAGCTCCTGCACCTGGGCTCCGGGCTCTCCCAGCTGCTCCCATCGTGTCCCCACCCCAGGCCTCCACCTGCACGCTCAAGCACCACGTGTGGCCTCCCTCGCCTCCCCTGGGTGTCGGCCCACAGAGCCCCTCGCGCCCTCCTTTTATAGGAGGGCAGCCCTTCCCCCGTGCTGCCCATCGGCCGCCTGTCCCCCCAGAAGGTTAGCTCCATCCGGACAGGGTCCTGGTCTCCCTTCACCCTCCTTGCACGAGGGCTGGTAGGTAGGTAGTTGCTCAGGGCACACTGGCTGATGACTGAACGGCTGTGCACGACGCCCCCTGGGCTGGGGGAGGACGAATCCAGCTTACAGGTCCAGGTGGGCAGCCACCTGGGAGGGGGGACCACTCACCTCCAGGAGCTGCGCAGCGCTGGGCCGTGTCTCTGGGTTCTTGTCCAGGGCCGTCTTCAGGAAATCTCGGAACTCTGCCGACCTGGGAGGACAGACAGGTGGGGGCAGGGAGCTGAGGGCGGGAAAGGGCCGAGAAGACTCCCCGCATCAGGGACTCCACTCTTCTGAGTCGTGTGCTTCCCAAACACGCCCCTCAAAGGACAAAGGGCGCCTTTATAAGCAAGCCGGCGGAGGCGGCCTCAGGACGCCCTTCTGGTCACTGATAGAGGGGATGCAGAATCAGAGAGGGGGCTTGCCCGAGGCCACGCAGCGGAACACAGCCATGCTGGGGTTTGAGCCCCAACTCCCAGCCCAGGGCTGTGCCACGTGGCTGCAAGGGCTCTTATTCCTGCAGCGGGATCCGGCTTATTTGGGTTCCGCAGTCTGCCTGGACGGAGAGCTGATGCTCAGAGCAGAGAGGGAGGAAGGAGCTCTGAGGGCCCAGGGAGCTCAGAAAAGGCCTACCGACCTCCAGGCCTGACTGCTCCCCAACGGTGGGGCCAAGCGGGGACAGCAGAGCCCTGGCCCCGCACCGCCCCCGACCCCACCTGCCCCGCCACCCAGGGCCGCTGGCCGCCCTGCAAACACCCCAGGCCGGCCTCCTGGCTCCTTACCACTTAGAGGGCGAGAGCAGTGTGGGAGGGTCGGACTTGGCGATCTTGAGCAGGACCCGCATGGGGTTGAGCTCGTGATGCGGGGGCTCGATCTGGGCCATCTCAATCAGCGTGATGCCCAGCGACCAGATGTCGGCCTTGTAGTCGTACGGGGTGTCCTTCATGGTCTCGCACATCACCACTTCGGGGGCCATCCTGAACCGACCAGGGGACAACAGAGCGCTAAGACCCTGGCCTCCTCAGGCGCTTCCCGGAGGCTCAGCGTCAAGGACCAGCGCGAGCGCTCCCAGGCCCGGATGAGCGTTCCTTCCCACCCACCATCTTCCTCAGGACGGTTTTCTCACGAAAGGACGCCTTCCGAGCACTTCCCAGCCCAGTCCTGCTGCAGCTCCGATTCCTACCAGAAGAGGGCAGCAGCGATCCAGAACACAGGGTCCTGGGGAGGGGGCGGGCGGGGGCAGGGCGGAGGGGCCCGGGGAGAGCGGGGCGGGAGGGCGGGGGAGGGAAAACGCACCAGCACAGAGGGGCGGGCGAGAAACGAGGCGGAGGGACAAAAGGGGGGGGAGAGAGCGCGATAAGCGAGCAAAAAAGGAAGCTAAGTCCACGATGGAAAGGAAGTAAAACAGAAAGCAGTTAGGTGTGAAACAGAGAGGCTTTTTCTTTTTGGAAAAAAAGGAAGCAAAATGGACTGGAAGAGTCTGGGGAGATTTCATTCAAGCACAGGGACTGAGCTCGCACTGTTCGTCTTCAGGGCCCCACCCCCAACTCTGGGTCTGCCTGTCGATCTACTCCTGTTGAATTCATCAGGAACCATTCTCCGGGGAACGCCGGTTCTTACTGGTGGAGCACCCTCTATATGCACCATCCCGTTTAATCCTCACAGTACCACATGGCATAGGCACTGTTATCCCCCCGACTTCGCAGATCGAGGAGACTGCGGCGCACAAAGCTGGGGAATGTGGCCAAGGTCTCAGCGCTCCTAAGTGGGGGCGCGTGGGCTCAGACCCAGCAGGCTGACTCGGGAGCCCCTGCCTGTCCCCCCTCCAGCCCAGCCAGGGGTCACCAACGGGACACGAAGTGTGACGGGCAGTCCACCATCCCATTTCCAGAGGCTACACGACTCACCAGTAAGGCGTTCCTATGAAGGAATCTCGCTTCTGCAGAGTTTTCAGATTCTTGGCAGACACACCGAAGTCAGCTGCAAGGCAAGAATCTCAGATAGAGGACTGGATGGACATTCCTCCACCCACGGCCCTGGGGTGTGGACTCAGAGATTCGCGTTCCAAATCAACTAACAGATGCCATTTTCTGTCTAGCAAATTAGTGATCATTAAAAAATAGTAACACCCACTGCTGTAAGAATGTATAGAGGTATGCACCTTCCTACTTGCTAATAAGAATATAAATTGAAGAGGCTTTTAGGAAAGCACTTTGGCAATAAATAGCAAGAACGTCTAAAATACCCATACTTGGGACATCCCTAGTGGGCCTGTGGTTAAGACTTTGAGCTCCCAATGCACGGCGTATGGGTTTGATCCCTGGTTGGAGAATTAAGATCCCACATGCTGCACGGAGCAGACTCAAAAATAAATAAAATAAGACATCCATACTCTTCTGGTGCAGCAATCCAAATCTAGGAGTCTACCTTAATGAAACAATCTTCTTTCTTCTTTTTGGTAGCACCTTGCAGCTTGTGGGATCTTAGTTCCCCAACCAGGGATTGAACCCAGGCCCTCAGCAACGAAAGCAGAGTCCTAACCACTGGACCACCAGGGAATTTCCTGAAATAATCTTAAATATAAAAACATTATGGGCAATGACTGTTCACCAAAATGCCATTATAACAGAGACAAAAACAAGCATCATTGCTTAGCTTTCACAGAGTGATTTTAAAAATTCTTATGTGGAGTATATATTCCCTTTTCTAAAAAAGATTTAAGATTATGTATAATATATACAAATGTACACAAAAAGAAAGATGAACTAGGATGTGAAGAGCTAAAACAATAGAAAAGACTCCGATGCTGGGAAAGATTGAAGGCAGGAGGAGAAGGATGACAAAGGACAAGATGGTTGGATGGCATCACCGACTCAATGGACATGAGTTTGAGCAAGCTCTGGGAGATGGTGAAGGACAGGGAAGCCTGGCTTGCTGCAGTCCATGGGGTCACAGAGAGTCAGACACAACTGAGCAACTGAACAACAACAATAAGAAAGAAGTATGTTAGTCGCTCAGTCATGTCCGACTTGTTGGCGACCCCATGGACTATATTTCCACCAGGCTCCTCTGTCCATGGAATTCTCCAGGCAAGAACACTGGAGTGTGTAGCATTCCCTTCTCCAGGGGATCTTCCCAACCCAGGGATCAAACCCAGGTCTCCTGCACTGCAGGCAGATTCTTCACCATCTGAGCCACCAGGAAAACCAAGAAAGAAGGTAAAGACTAAATAACTGGACAGATTTAGTGTGATACACACACATATGGTGGAATATTTTATAGTCATTAAAGTTTTAAAATATTTTATTCAATATTTCAGTAATGAATTATACATAATATTCAATTTTAATATATATTTAATAATGATAATAGATGAGGGAGACTAAGAGGTACAAACTTCCAGTTACAAAATTAATGAGCCACAGGAATGAAATGTACAGTGTAGGGAATATAGTCAATAATAATGTAATATATTTGTGTGGCAATAGATGGTCTTATAGCAGTGATTATTTTATAATGTGTATAAAAATCAGCTTACTACGTTTTACACCAGGAATCAATATAGTGTTGTCAACAAACAAACTCACAGAAAAAGAGATCGGATCTATGGGGGTTTGGGGGAAGGAGAATTAGATGAAATTAGGTACAAAAGGTACAAACTTGCAGTTATAAGATAAATAAGTACTACGAATGTACTTAAATATGCTTAAATATAATTAAGCACAGTAAACATATATAAATAAATATAACATTACTATATGTTATATATGAAAGTTGTTAACAGAGTAAATCCTAAGAGTTCTCATCACAAGGAAAAAATTGTTTCTTTTATTTTGTAACTACACAAATGGATATTCACTAAATTTATCATGATAATCATTTCATGGTGTATGTAAGTCCAATAGTTATGATGTAATCTTAAACTGACATAGTGCTGAATGTCAATTATATCTGAATAAAAATGTAGGGGAAAATAAATTAAAATTTTAAAACACCATGTGTGCTAAGTTGGTTCAACAGTGTCCAACTCTGTGTGACTCCATGGACTGTAGCCCACCAGGCTCCCCTGTCCATGGGATTCTCCAGGCAAGAATACTGGAGTGGGGAAAAAAAAAAAAAGAATACTGGAGTGGGTTGCCATGCCCTTCTCTAGCGAATCTTCCCAACCCAGGGATCAAACCCACATTTCTTATGTCTCCTCCATAGGCAGGCAGGTTCTTTACCACCAGTGCCATCTGGGAAGTCTAAAACAACAAATATTGAAAGAATATGAAAATATTTTATTGGTAATATTTATATAGGCTCAATAGGAAAGGGAGAGGATGCATATCTGAATATATTGTATGGTTGGAATTATGCCCCACCTCCCCAAAAAAGAGCAAAAATACAGTTTGAATTATTGGAGGAAATGTACTAGCTTGCTTAAATGGTTGTCCATGGGCAGAGAGACGAGGTTTCTTCCACTTTGCTGAATTTCTGAAGTTTACCATGACAAAAGCATTCGACTTTCAGGACTGACAAAAGCATTCGACTTTCAGGACTAACAAAATAAATTAATACAGTTTCTCTTTACACACATCCATCACCACCATGCACTGCTAAGGGAAGAAGCCAGCACCACAAAGAGGCATTTTCTGCAGTGCCCCAGCCTTCCAGTGCCACGTTTCCCCTTGATCATAAGCTGAACTCAGGAGGAAGCAGCGTGCCAAGAAACCCGCTGAAGCTGTAACAGCCGCCCTGAGCCCTGCCACCCAGGTCTGGAAACCACGCTCCGAGCTTCACTCAGACTCACAACTTCAACCCAGGCGCAGCGCTGAGCGGCAGGCTGAACGCGAGCACGCTGGGTTCCAGGCTCGCCCCTTGTATGGCACTGAGTTCTTTCATCTATTCACTTAAGCCCCATCTGGAACCACCCACGAGCTGGAGCAGAGGACACAGTCGGGGAAAAAGCAGACCAAGTCCGTGCCCTCTGGCAACTCCAAGTTCAGTGGCAGAGGCAGCCAGCAATCCCATAGACACCAACTATGTCTGTTCACAAACGTGTGACGTGATGGGTCGATGGGGGCCAGGCTCGAGAGACAAGGAAGGGAGGACCTGGAGGAAGTCCAGCTAAGGAAAAAACCAGAAGATTATTTGGTGTGGCCATCTTACATGCTTATGCGTCCTACAAAAAGCTAGGTATCCTAGCAGTGGTGTAAGAAGTTACATCTCACTGCTGATGTATGTGTGCTCCGGTATGAGATGTTTTTTCATTGTCACAGCACTACAGCAAAATACACAAATAAAAACATATTCATAAAAAATTTTTTTTTCATTTCCAGGCAATTCATTCATTCAACAAATACTAACTGAACATCTGTTATGTGCCAGGCATTATTCTAGGCACAGAGAGGAAACCTTCACCCTCATGGCCTGTTTTTCTAGTGGTGGAAACAGGCCCTCCACACCACGGGACTCCTGGAGATAAGAAGGGCCATGCAGGGGTAAGGCAGAGACAGGGCTGGGTGCATGCGCGGCTCGTTTAGACAGGAGGTCAAGGGCTAGGGGGAAGTATTTCCAGGCAGAGGAAACAAGCCGGCTGGAGGGCCCCAGAGGGGCAGGCAGCATGGCTGGAAGGGGTGGTCTTAGACAAGGGGAGAGACAGGCAGGGGCCAGGACAGTTACCAAGCCTCTGAGCCTGTATCCCCGCCAGTGACAGCGGCTGAGACTGCAGAACTCACTTTGTAGGGCTGCAGTGAGGATGAAATGACACACCCCGGCACTCAGCTCCAAGCCCAGCTCATGGTAAATGCTCCATCACGAGTGAATATTCCATGCGGCATACTCCCGAGAGTCTGAGGCGGGGACGAGGACGAGGCTGTACTGAGACCTCCTCCCGGGAACGATCAGGACAGCTGGCCTCTGAGCCTTAGCCAGTGCTAACTGGACAAGAACCACTGGGTCAGCTGAGGAAAGTGCTCACAGGGCAGTCTGGCTGTCGGGGCTGGAGAGCGGCTGCCTTTCAGGGTGGGAGCAGCAGCAGCTCCAGGTTGAGATGCGAAACCCAGGAAACCCAGGGGAGAAGCCAGCTCTGCCCTGCTGGCCTGGGCACATCACCACCCCTCTGGACTCAGGGGTGCGGATGGGGCACCCACATGGGCCTGGTTCCCCTATAAACACCAACAACGGCTGACATGCCATCCCAGGACACCTTTGGGGAAGAGGGACTGCCTCTCAGACCCACAGCGAGGCTTCCAGGAGGGACGCTGGAGCTGGCCACTCCCATATCTCAGCACCTACCGGTTCCTTCCAAAGAAGGGAGAGGAAAAGCAGAAACCACCAACTTTCAAAATGACACATAGTCGGTCCCCAGGGTCCTCCCTAAAACAAGCGCCTGCCAGCTTCTTGGGTGGTTGCTACTTCCCCTTCTGGGGCCCAGCCGGGCGGGGGGGGCGGCCCCTCCTGCTGTTTGAACCTCAGGCTGCCCCTGGGAAGGGCCAGGGGCGGCCCCAGCTGCTTGCTCCCTGGACGGAGTTTATAAGCCATGTCCCCCAACAGGGAGGGGCTGCCCTCGGACAGTTCAAAGGGGACTTTAACCAGGCAGTCTCTGTGGTTGAAAGCACTGCTCTCTCCCCTCCTCCTATTTTAAAACAAGAATCACAGACAAAGCAGCAGGCACGGGGGACTCTATAAACTATCACTTCCATCAGGAAAGAGGCCATTTCTGCTTTGTCCACAGCTGTACCTGATGCTACATCTGCCACGTGAAACACTCAACAGGGCTATCAGACGAACAACAAGATAAATGAAGAGACAGGAAAAAAAGACAAAACTGGGCTTTAAGACATATGTTTGAGGGCCTTCCCCGCCAGTCCAGGGGAGAAGACTCCATGCTCCCTGCATGCTGTGGCCAAAAACAAACAAACAAACAATGGAAAAAGAAATACGTTTGACAATAATTCTATTTCTGGAAATAACTCCCCCAAACCAGATTTCAAACA